GTCTGTAATAGCTTGAAATATTGGTAGGGCCTTTTCCCGTACCTGTCCATTAGGGCTTTACAAAGTTCTTCAAATGACCCGTGTGCTTGAATAGCTACCTCTCTGGCCTCACCTGTTAACAAGGTTCTCAGCTGTAGCATTTTTACTTCTTCTGTCCATCCAGCCTGTGTTGATAAAGCAGTAAACTCTGATAAGAATGTCACTATATCCTCACTTTCAGTATGGTTATAAGGTTGAAGTTTCAGTCTAAACGGCACAGGGTTAGAATTTGTCTCACACCGTTCCTTTTGAAGTTTTGCTTTTTCAATCTCTAGTTCCAATTCTTTCACTTTCCTTTGATGTTCTCTTTCCTTTTCTTCGGCGTCCATTCTTATCTTTTCTCTTTCCACTTCCCTTTGATGTTCTCTTTCCTTTTCTTCGGCGTCCATTCTCATCTTTTCTCTTTCAACTTCCATCGTCATCCTTTCTCTTTCGAAATTCATTTGGCGTTCTTTTTCCTCTTTCTCTGCTTGAAGTTTTTCTTTTTCTAAGTTCATTTGGCGTTCTTTTTCCTCTTTCTCTGCTTGAATTTCGAGTCTTCTTATTTCCAACTTTGTTTGTGCTGCCGTCATCTTCGCAGTTTCCGTTTCTTCAGTCGTCGACATATTGAACAGTTCTAATGAGCGTTATATCTTTGATAACGGAGTCCTTCTCCTTAGAATGATCCTTTACCGCTGCCACCAGAATATGTTACCCCTCTATGTTGTACTATCCTTATGTTATACAAAAGACCAGCAACAACCGTTCTCAAGTACAAATGTTGAGTATTAACACAAGTTACAACAATGATAACATGTATGGCCTGAGTATCGAGCTTAACAAGTTACTCCTTCCACGGCCACACCAGGACTGACTCTATTTGCTGTGATCTTACAGTTTATCCTAAAGCAATTATAATCTAATTCTGATAGGGAAAGTGTCTTCTACTGATCTACAATTAAACCGTGACCAGTTAATGTCTCCATGGTGGAGAGCATGTCCAGCCAATGTTTCACGGCATGATTCTGACACTAAGGTGACCGCAATTAAACTATCTGTCTGATAAGCCAGCCGGTCACATTAAGATTTAACACAAATTATGTTCTACACTTGAGTGACAAATTTCACTATTAACACATGGATTATCGAGGATGATTCCAGGGATACAGAGATCGACAGTGAGTGTAAACCATGGATTATCGAGGATGGTTCCAGGGATAAAGAGATCGACAGTGAGTGTAGCGCCTGAAGTATCGAGGATGGTTTCAGGGGTATAGAAGTGCGAAAGTGATCGTAACCCCTGGTGTATCGAGGATGATCGAGATAATTTTACCTGATTATTTTTATAGCTGTGTTTATTCTATTCCATTCTGGTGGCCTATAAGTAGAGATATAATGTCGTCTACTCTTTACCGAATCCGGAAGGCCTTCAACAAGATGTTGACATATTAATGTTGTAAGTGCCATTCCAATGTCTCCATTGTGATCTCCCAGAGTCATTTCGTTTCACTGTATCAGACAGTAAAGCGATAAGCTTGACAGCCGATGTATTCTATTGTAAGCACTTTTAATGTGTGAATAGTTTTTGTGTTCTTTTAGCTCAACTGGTCACGGCAGACCAGCATTTTCAGGAATGGCCAGGAAATCTGTAATAGTTTCAACGATGAAGGATGTAAACGCAGTAACTGTAAACATGCCCATATAAACACTTCAGACAATAAAAAAATCAAAGAAATATAAAATTTATTTATTTTACAACAATTGCGAAATAAGTTATTTCAATTTATACTCATCATTTCATTTTGTTGGCCCGGATGTAAGCGTGCGAGCAGTCTTATTGTGGGAAGAAACCGGAGTACCCGGGGAAAACCCACGTGGTGAGGCAGGTGACCCCATAACATTTCACGTCCCCCGGACGGCTAGGTGAAAGACGAATGCGTTACCACTGCTCCACTACCTGACCACCCCAAAAAACCTTCTTTCGGTGGAAAAGGTCACTAAACGGGACATGATAACCAATGTAGTCCATCACAGTGGACCAAGTATCAACACGTATTAATATAAGTGTACTAGCAGAAGAATTAATAAAAAAAACCCACCCAGACAAACAGTTCGTTAATATTTGACCACAGGACTTAATCAAGGCTTTCGTACAGGAATTTCAGAACTACCCAAAGACTCTCTATCTGCCACAATTTATGAAGTGCTATCAAACAACCGGAGTTCACAAGTGCACTAATTGCTGACGAACTACACAAAGGTTACATCATAGGCCCATTCGACAGACCATCATGTGATATGAACCGCATAAACACTCAGAGAAGAAACGTCTTATCGTAGATCTGTCAGTACCTCACCAGGAACATCTGTCAGTACCTCACCAAGAACACCTGTCAGTACATCACCAGGTACACCTGTCAGTACCTCAATCTGTCAGTACCTCACCAGGAACAGCAGTCAGTACCTCACCAGGAACATCTGTCAGTACCTCACCAGAACATCTGTCAGTACCTCAACCTGTCAGTACCTCAATCTGTCAGTACCTCACCAGGAACATCCTTCAGTACCTTACCAGGAACACCTGTCAGTACCTCAATCTGTCAGTACCTCACCAGGAACACCTGTCAGTACCTCACCAGGAACACCTGTCAGTACCTCACCAGGAACACCTGTCAGTACCTCACAAGGAACAGCAGTCAGTACCTCACCAGAACATCTGTCAGTACCTCAACAGGAACACCTGTCAGTATCTCACCAGGAACATCTGTCAGTACCTCATCAGGAACATCTGTCAGTACCTCACCAGGAACATCTGTCAGTACCTCCATCTGTCAGTACCTCACCAGGAACACCTGTCAGTACCTCAATCTGTCAGTACCTCACCAGGAACATTTGTCAGTACCTCACCAGAACATCTGTCAGTACCTCACCAGAACATCTGTCAGTACCTCACCAGGAACATCTGTCAGTACCTCAATCTGTCAGTACCTCAATCTGTCAGTACCTCACCAGTCAGTACTTCACCAGGAACACCTGTCAGTACCTCACCAGGAACATCTGTCAGTACCTCAATCTGTCAGTACCTCACCAGGAACATCTGTCAGTACCTCACCAGGAACATCTGTCAGTACCTCAATCTGTCAGTACCTCACCAGGAACATCTTGTCATACAGTCACTGGTCAGTCTCGCCTTAGTTGTTTTACAACAGCTAATACCTCACGACCTGGCCATACAGCCGCTGGTCAGTCTAGGCCTCAGTTGTTATACAACAACTATTACCTCACGACCTGGCCATACAGCCACTGGTCTGTCTAGGCCTCAGTTCTTATACAGCAGCCAAGACCTCACGACCTGGCTGGACAGCCACTGGGCAGTCTCGGCCTCAGTTGTTATACAGCAGCCAAGACCTCACGACCTGGCCATACAGCCACTGGTCAGTCTCGGCCTCAGACCTTATACAGTAGACTAGACCTCACGACCTGGCTGGACAGCCACTGGTCAGTCTCGGCCTCAGTTGTTATACAGTAGCCAAGACCTCACGACCTGGCCATACAGCCACTGGTCAGTCTCGGCTTCAGATCTTATACAGTAGACAAGACCTCACGACCTGGCTGGACAGCGCCGGTTAATCTTGGTCAAGACTATCCGTGTGAGAGTTTTTCGCTGACTCTGACGGACCTAGCAAATGGACAGCGGCCTTAGCTGCTACACCTTAGGCCCAGTGAGGTCACATATAATCACAGTCAACCCTATCTTCTGCAAACTTTAATAAAATTTCAAAATATTTAATTCTGTCGCTTGATTATGTATTAGAACCTTATCAACAGTACATCTTTGACGTTTCTTTCCTCTTTTTGTATTTGGTGCAATAGTGTCTGAAGACACATCACGAATACCCATAGTATTTGGTGCAATAGTGTCTGAAGACACATCACGAATACCCATAGTATTTGGTGCAATAGTGTCTGAAGACACATCACGAATACCCATAGTATTTGGTGCAATAGTGTCTGAAGACACATCACGAATACCCATAGTATTTGGTGCAATAGTGTCTGAAGACACATCACGAATACCCATAGTATTTGGTGCAATAGTGTCTGAAGACACATCACGAATACCCATAGTATTTGGTGCAATAGTGTCTGAAGAAACATCACGAATACCCATAGTATTTGGTGCAATAGTGTCTGAAGACACATCACGAATACCCATAGTATTTGGTGCAATAGTGTCTGAAGACACATCACGAATACCCATTGTATTTGCATGAAAGGTACACACATGTGCCTAGCTGTCGTGTTTGCTAGAGTAAAATCGTCAAATATGAAACTGAATCTTTGTATATTAATGTATTATAACCATATTTAACATCTAATGACGTCACTTCCTTTATTTAGTATTATGAGATATACAATTGAAGATGCTGTCCTCTAGTGTAATACACGATGTAAAGTAATGTCGGTAAATTTAACTTTCTATTAATCGATTCTACAAATAGCAACATGAAATCTACATGTGGTAAAATGTATTGTCATAAGATGTATGAAGTTGTTAACACTATTGATTATCTAAATATATATTCTGAAGAGTCTTGACGACTCTAACTGTCGCTGATTATCACCTGTTGCCGACTACTGGTTAATGTCACTACGAATAGACGTCATCGATCCCACAATTATGTGCGTTCCGTCTTATTGTCCCACCTCGAAGAATCCTCTGCAAACCGGAGCAATGCTAGTTCGTGATTGACGCAAATCTTAATCTGAATATTTTCATAGTCTGTCACCTTCGGGCCAGGTGAGCTAATCAATTTGGATACATTATTCTAAAAACCAATCACATCTGGTTTTCAGCTCCATTGCTTGTACATATTTCAAGTGTTGATTTCCGTTCTATCAGATAAAGAACGGACGGGCGGACGGACGGACATGATGACGCCAGTGTACGCTCCATAAATAAAGACAATAACGATATGAAATACAAATCAAGGCGATATTTATTTTCGATAAATCTATACAAGTTTTTTTTATTGACATTTGAAATGAAACCCGTCAGATCTTGTGATCTTAACTTGTACAAAAGTCAACATATGTTTAGAATCAAACATGATGTGGTTAAACTTATCTGACTAAAAGAGAAAATTCAGGTATTTGTTTAGTCTTGCTCTGTTTATTGTAATTTTTTAATTGTGACCAGGGTCATGCCAACATCTAATGATGGTGAGCCAAAAAAAAAAACCCATAATTTTAAAACAACAAAAATTCCTATTTTTATGATTTGAGTTTATCAACCGCAACTTGGACACAAAAAGTGTGGATAAAATGTCGGAAACCTTCTGACTTACTGGAGACATAACAATATACACCATCAGTCAATTTTGATTCTATCAAATAACGACAGCAGCAAAAATAAAACTACGCCTCTGTTTTACTGAACGGATTTACTAGATCATAATTAATGACACATAATATACACACATAACAGTGAGGGAGTAGATTCTCAGTCAAAGTACAACGTTTCTCCGCTAGGCTGCGCTCGTTTAGTCTTTAAAGCGAAGCGTAGCGGAGAGTAGAAAATGATGGGGACAATATACTCTAAGACTCTCTCAATCTCTACCAGAGTGCATTGCGGTACCCCAATAGCATCTCTGTAAACGGCTCGCGCCTTTTCAAGATTCTCGAAAAAGTATTTGTGTCAAATGATAAAGTGTTTCTTTATTTTTCGTTTTGTTTTTAGTATTATTATATTGAAAATACATGTTTGTTAATTTGGAAAATGGCATCAGTTTATATGCTTATAAAGTTTATGGATTACGTCACGGAAGGTATACTTTGAGTAAACAGTCACCAACTGTCATGTTAACACCGTACTTTCACTTTTCAACTACTGACATGTTCTTGAGATAAATGTTGATATATTGTGATAGCAGTGATAACTGATGGAAATTTGTCTGAAAAATATTTGCAAGTAACATCTCAAAAAGCGCAGTCTACATCTATGTCCCCCGTTGGTTTTGTCAGGAATGCCGCCACACTTTTCCAAGACGTCATACTTTGACCCTGACCGCGAGGTCAACTGTTGTTAGTCTGTGAGCTGTATACAGAGGTGTATGATGACTGACGCTCTCTATGGATTGGATCTACAAAGAGTAACCATTCCTTACACAAGGAACGATAACTCTGGGTAATTATTGCGTTTCTCTTTCAGTGTTTTCAAACAGTTTACTTAAAAACACGCGAGGTAACCACAAATAACTACTTTAAAAACACACAACATATGACAGAAAAATTAAGTATCATATAAGTGATTTTGTGTTAAGTCTTTAAACAAAAATCAATCATAATTATTACTTACCTCGTCAAATACAAGATGTCATCGATTGTGCATCGCTTATACGACTTCTTTCAAAACAGCACAGACATTTATGAATGAGAGACAATCTTAACGATGTACCATTACCAAAATGGGCATTACCAGCTGGTAGTGATAGTCATATAAACACCCCTAAAAATGGGTCTGAATACAAGTATTGAAATGATAAATATATTTAATTTGAGAATGTTTAAAGATAAAAATAAAACTTTAAATATATAATCTACAAAAAATACTTTAAAATTAAGAACAGTTATGAACAAAGTCGAATTCTTTGAAAACCTTCACACTCACCGTTCAGTTTCATACTATTCTTAATCTTTCGTGACATGAATTTATATCTTATTAACAGATCTAACCTCTTGATGAGAATATTTTCACTTGCAAACATATTGGTCTATTACGATCAAAGGGAGATAATTCGTACAGTTGACATGATAATGGTAAAAGGAAGCAAGATTCTCATGAATGTAGGTAATAAACACATTTAATATATCAATAAATTGTGACTTGTACCTGTGGAGTATACAAACAATAACATTAATTATCACACATGTAATATATCAGGCATTGACAGAGACCTGTCACAATGTATTTTCCTTGTGTTGTGGGGTACATAGACAATGATATTACATGGAGTATTGATGAATTAATGTTAAGCACCTTTCCTTTCAAATGCAATGAAATATATATATAAAAAATACATAACCAGATCCACATCAAGTGGTAAGCAGAAAATGGACAAAATCAAATTTTCAGTATTTCAGGTATTTTCCATGAATATCAACCATTAAAACAAGTTTTACTAACTCATAGCAACAACAATACAAAATACAGTAAATATTTCATGAAAATCGAACAAAAACAAGGTAGTCTATACTGGCATTACAAAACTTTATAATACCTGTTGTTACGGTAGCCGTTGAACGTAGCGAAAATTGATAAATGACATAGCCGCACAGTTTGTATTTATAAAACGTCAATATGTCGTAGGAACAATACTGTTTAAATCCAAAACCTTGTATTCATAGTCATTTCCATGGACGACAACCCGATCTACATCGGCACGCTGCCGCCACTATAATTTTAGTATACAGAAAAATTACTGTTGGTGCCACAGATTATTGTTGTATCATTCTCGTTCACACATATTTTCTTTTATGAGTGATAATTTAAAGAAGTTTAGAAATTCTTTGATACCAAGGTACATATCATCATATGAGAAAAATGGTACATACAATCAACGGTTAGCCATCAAACTCATTTTCGATCATAAAATAGAAATCTGACCTGACACTTTGATTGCGGACGCTATCGATTTGATGTAAATTATCAATGAAAACCGATTAAACACAGAAAATAATCGACAAATGTCAAAACTTGGTGTCAACTGAGGAACAACACAATCAATAGTGTATAGTACTATATTAACACCTGACCGCTTTATAGGAACAACACAATCAATATTGTATCGTACTATATTAACACTTGACCGCTTTATAGGAACAACACAATCAATATTGTATCGTGCTATATTAACACCTGACCGCTTTATAAGAACAACACAATCAATATTCTATCGTACTATATTAACACTTGACCGCTTTATAGGAACAACACAATCAATATTGTATCGTGCTATATTAACACTTGACCGCTTTATAGGAACAACACAATCAATAGTGTATCGCACTATATTAACACCTGGCCGCTTTATAGGAACAACACAATCAATATTGTATCGTACTATATTAACACTTGACCGCTTTATAGGAACAACACAATCAATATTGTATCGTGCTATATTAACACCTGACCGCTTTATAAGAACAACACAATCAATATTGTATCGTGCTATATTAACACTTGACCGCTTTATAGGAACAACACAATCAATATTGTATCGTGCTATATTAACACCTGACCGCTTTATAGGAACAACACAATCAATATTGTATCGTACTATATTAACACTTGACCGCTTTATAGGAACAACACAATCAATATTGTATCGTGCTATATTAACACCTGACCGCTTTATAAGAACAACACAATCAATATTGTATCGTACTATATTAACACTTGACCGCTTTATAGGAACAACACAATCAATATTGTATCGTGCTATATTAACATTTGACCGCTTTATAGGAACAACACAATCAATAGTGTATCGTACTATATTAACACCTGGCCGCTTTATAGGAACAACACAATCAATATTGTATCGAACTAAATATACCACCTAGCCACTAAAGACAGGTTATCTGCCTTAAACATTATAAATACAAGAGAGGCACTCCGTCACACACAAGATGAGAAAAGGATACTCTCTTACGTATTACAAATATTAACCAAAACTTTAATATCACACCGGGAAACACGACCTGGGGATCTTTCGCGGTAGGACTTTTATCCGTTTGTCGCCAGAGTGATGTGTGTAGTACTCTGTGCATGACGTAAGACCAGCGCTGTAGTGTAGTTGATGATACATGCGCCTGAGAAGGTTGTGGTTGTATTCAGGGTTATCGGCCTTGAAGCCTTCCTGGTTTCCCGCCTTTGTTGTTTGGTGGAGCGCCACTAAAGTATCAGTTGCGTCTATGGTTACGTGTTTTTGTTTCCGCGCGTTCGATACCAACCAATTATCATAAGCTCTCCGACCGATGACAACTTCCGGTATATCTTTCCAAGGGTAATTAGCTGACGTTATAAAATAATCTTCAGCCCACACTGTAAATATTTTCCCGCGAATATTCGCCGTTTTGTAAACGCTTTCCCCCGATATAGCTTCCTCTGACGTCACATCCTGTACATTTGTCCTTCTACCAACGACCATGAGTGGTTTGCCTTTGGGAATATGAGTGGAATTTAATACTACATTTAATGTGTCTAACAGTGAGTGAGAGTACAGTATATCGCCATTAGAAAAAGCATAGAATCGAGACTTGTACTTTTCCATGGCGTCTTTATACATATATTTGAGAATTGGTACACCCCTTCCTGCTTTCCGAACCGGAAGTACATCCCAACCTTTCTCAACTGCTTCCTGTGCTAGTAAAGTTTCGTTAGTGAAGAGTATCGGCTGTATGAACGGTTTTAACTGAAGCCAATTACGAATTGTATTATTGTGACAAACATACTTCTCGGCTTTTGTCGGCCAGGAAGTGAAAAGCGTCAATAGTACTTCTGGCTTATCACCCACAACGTTAAATTTAGAAACGTTAGTAGATTTCCGGATATTCTTATGCGGTAAAAATATTAATTTTGACATCGGTTTTACCATATTTTCATTATTTCCTGATTTCCTGACTTGCGGTCGTGTGACGTTATGTCCAGAGTATGGAAATGACGTATTTTTGACGTATTCTGTATATGAATGAGAGCTGCCTCCTCCTATCATTTGTACCCAGCCCTCCATTTTGTCCCGCCATCTCTGGATATCACTAATAGTTCCCTTCATCACCTCGCCGATAGCAAACGTCTGCATTGTGATGTTTGAGTACAGATATACGTAGATAGTCGTACTCAGTAAAAACAGGACGCTCAACTTGAGGTATACGCCTTTACCAGAACACGCTCCCCCATTACTGGATCCAGTCATGTCGAGCTCTCTGAAAAACAAAACGAATGAAGACAAATCAATATATCAGTGATTCTCACATGTTGAAAGAATATAAACATCGGTTGAAATCTAATTTCAAGCAAAGAATTGTAATAGACGACAGACGAAAACGATGTCTGAACGAATAATTAGCAAGAGAGAGTGAGGTGGGGTGAGAGAAAGAGAGAGAGAGAGAGAGAGAGAGAGAGAGAGAGAGGGGGGGGGGGAGGGGGGGAGGGAGGGAGACAGACAGACAGACAGACAGAGAGAGAGACAGACAGACATATGGACAGACAGACAGACGGACGCCTAGACGGACGGACGGACAGATGGTAGAAAGGCGGATAGCATGAACATATACAAAACATGATTAAGCTATCATGTTTTATTTGATATGATTTAAAGACCAGTCCTACACAATATTCATGATCGGCGAGTATACCAAATGGCCGTCCATTCAGCATGATTGTTACCGAATGCTCTAATATGTAGGCCGCCTGCCTATAAACAAATAAAAAAAAATAAGCTTATTACGAAGTTTACGCTCCAATGCCTCTCACAGCAAACTTAACGACAATATTGACAAAAGAAAATCTAGAATATGCGTGATTAAAAACGTCTCCCATGAAATCTATCTGTTCGATAAAAAAATCTGTCTAGGTTCCAGCGGACATTTTATACCGTATTTTGATCTGTAGAGACGTATTCTGCCTGTTCATGTTTTATGCATGTCTCGGGTCCAAATTGGCCCGTTTTAATATCCAATGATCACGCCTTACTCCGTTATGTGTTGCACTGCATATTGCACAAACGCTACAAAAACCACCTGTCACTAATGACTAAGTAGCCAAGTGTAAACCTAGGGGCAAACATCTATGAAGGTTTCAGAATATCTGTAATCTTCGATCTTTGATCATTAAATCTATGGCAACGAAAAGGAAATAATGAGCATTTTCATTAGCATAACCGCTTGCACCATTTGGAGAGTAAATTAGATTATCGTTTCAGAGACCATAATTCAAATTGCTGCAGTTATGACGGAGTCTGGTTAGTACGATATTTTACTTCCGGTTGCAAGCCGAGTAATAATCCGGGGAGAGGAGGAATAATTACGGAGTTAGAGAAGATACTAGAGGAGGGAGAATAATAAGTAGAGCCTCAAGTTTATTGAGATTAAACTTGACAGCCATTATTTGAGATATTTGAGATTAGTAAAGCCTCAATTTTATTGGGATTAAACTTAACAGCCATTATTTGAGATAAGTAAAGCCTCAAGTTTATTGGGATTAAAATTGACAGCCATCATTTGAGATTAGTAGAGCCTCAAGTTTATTGGGATGTAACTTAACAGCCATCATTTGAGATTAGTAGAGCCTCAAGTTTATTGGGATGTAACTTAACAGCCATTATTTGAGATTAGTAAAGCCTCAAGTTTATTGAGATTAAACTTGACAGCCATTATTTGAGATATTTGAGATTAGTAAAGCCTCAATTTTATTGGGATTAAACTTAACAGCCATTATTTGAGATAAGTAAAGCCTCAATTTTATTGGGATTAAACTTAACAGCCATTATTTGAGATTAGTAAAGCCTCAATTTTATTGGGATTAAACTTAACAGCCATTATTTGAGATTAGTAGAGCCTCAAGTTTATTGGGGTTAAACTTGACAGTCAGTTCTCGGTTCAATTATGAATCTTTACAAAATGTTTTTAGTAATAATTTCAAGTTCAGCATCAGAAGGAAAGGATACTCTCAGGGAGGTGTTGGCAGCAAAAAAAAAAAAAAAACATGAGAGGCTGTCAGGTTATCCGTTATATCATCAATGTACAGGGTAAAAAGAGAAAAAAGAGGACCTAGGACAGAACCTTGGGGTACACCAGCATTAGGTGTTTTAGTACTAGAAGTAACATTGTGTATGACTACTTGTAGATGGTGATTTCAGACGTTATCAGAAAGTCATCTTAAGATATTTACATTGATTCCATAACTTCCCAATTTGTGTTCAAGACCTGCATGTCAAACTCTTTCACAAGCCTTAAAAATATTGCAAAAGAAAAGACAGCTTTGATTGCGATTTTCTAAATTGTTACATTTATTGTGATAAAATTCAATAAATTGATGCACTGTAGAGTGACCTGGCTAATATCCAGATTGATATTTGTATAACAAGGATTTATCAAGTAAATAATTTTGGAGATATTTGGTTACTACTTTCTCAAAAACCTTTTCTACTGTTCTTAATAGAGCGTTTTGTCTGTAATTACTTGGACTCTCTTTATCAATTTTCTTGAAGATAGACATAATTGAAGTTTTTTCAATGAATTTGGATATATTCCTTGCTCAAGAGACTTTCTAAGTATGTGAAATACCGGAGCTGAGACAGAATAAGCTGTGTTTTTAAGCATTTGGTGACTAATTTTATCAGGCTCATCTGCCTGGGTTAAAAGTCAGTATTATCAGATTTCGTTATCGGATGATTAGTTACAAGACACTCCAGTCTTCCTTATTTTTTCAAAATAAAATCTGTTAACATCACAACTAATTTAAAGAGGTAACTGTAACATGTCTGGTGTCATTGAAAATTCAAATGAGACAACAAGGAAGTAAGCATGGGAGGGGTATAGAAAATAGCTCAAAGTACTGACAAGAAGGCAGCCTTGGGGAAAACTGAATTTTAAAAGAATTCATAAAATTCGGGTATCTCAGTAAAGCAGATGTAGTTCGTGAATTTCAATTTCTAATTATATTCAAATATCGTAAAGTCGTATGAAAATTTGTTGAACACGAACAAGCCTAAAGGAAATTATCTTGTTCGAATTCAAGTCTATTCCTCCGTTGTCAGTCCATCTGTCCGCTATATTTTTAAACATAGCTGAGGTTTTGAGTTTTCTACTATCCCAATTCAATCTAAAATCTTCTATGATAAAAACAGAAGTTATTATTTGTTTTTAGTTGCGGTAAGTGATGATGAACATCTGTATTTATTCAGATTGTTGTGAAGGGGACCCCATCATTTTTATATGGCATGTTTTCTATGAGGAATAGGGACAACTTTGCTACCTCTTCAGACATATTAGCGAATGCATAGTTTTGCGAACGGTCATCAAAAATGACTTTAAATTCACGAATGATGACCAACCAGAGACCCGGATTCTTCAAGAACCGAACCACCATGGATGGTAGGGTAGAGACACATCGCCCTATCGTAGAATTTTAGGGTATATGCTAGATGAGTAAATTCATTAACCTATTCACATATTCAGATGCTGAATCGTATCTCATGCTGGTGTGATAATTACTCAACTATGACGTCACTACGTAAGCACACGTCTAAAACGAAAACACAAACCACGATAAAACTAATAAGAACTATTATAGAGTTTACAGGGGACACTGTGCGAGTTAATGTGCAAATGAAGCCAAACCTTTGCATTATACTGTAGTTTAGATTTTGTTGTAGTTTACTTGCAGAAATATCAACTTCAGATCACATATGTGAAATGTGCGACACATGTGGTCACTGACTGGACAATAACTGACCGCTCGGAAGGATCACCAGCTGTGATCATAATTAATTACATAACAAGAAAATGACCCAGTAATATTACACATGTGACCATTTGTATGACGTCACGAGAGAGGGGCAAGCGACAAATGGGAAATTGGAAATATTCGAGCTTAGTCCTTTTTCAGGAAGCATTTCTTCTATTTTCTTTTTATCCAAAAGGGAAATTATGTTTGTATACAATATTTATATCAAACCACTAGGGGCGTTTCACATTTAACCTATTTCCCACGATTTGTTGGCGTAATAGAGATGGCGGTGTCCTATTGTAAATGTGTTGGGGAGGTGCGGGTTACAATCACGTGACCAGTACAACACATGACACACGAAAAATCTTATATAAAAAGACTGACACACAAACACACACGTTCAAGTTAAAACATAAATTGTAAGCCATATCGAATGCCATATTTCACTAGTAACTGTCGAAATGGTTGTACAGCATCAGCGTACGAGTGTCGTTATCACATTCGTTCAAATGATATGAAAACTATATGTACTGAAATAAACTTACCCGTGAACTGGAACAGAGAAAGGGCGTTAGATAGTCGTGGTGGGCCTGCCTGTTTACACGAATTTCCTGTGTACTTAACACAACACTGTGGGGCTAGATTACAGCCCTAAAAATGCATAACCACATCCTGGTGTGTGCCCACGCATGTGCGCCGAGCTGGTCGGAGGCTGTCGATTAAAAGTTATGGAGATACACATATAACATTTAGATAAACCAACCAGTATTGTATAGAGATCCTTCAGCCTTTGTGTTCCTGTAACATTACTCAAACATATTCTATACACTGTGGATTAAGACTCATCTCACCCACTAATTACCAGTTTATTATCGATTTATTTTTGGCTCCGCACTCGTCTCTCTTCGGAAGAGGATGAATTCTGTTTCCATGGTAACTGTTTCTGCTTAACACTGGCAGGCTGCAGAAAAAGTGGCGCAGATGGACAACCGATGTGCAGACTGTTTAGTATGAAGATTACCCGATAAAGAGCAGAGAACTTCCATTTTAATTAAGAAAGATTAGTTCGTTGCAAATTTTATGAAGACATTTCCCCCATTAATTTGCGTGTTCAATAAGCTGTGTTAGCTAAGTCAGAACTTTACACAGAATATTATATCACTAACATGATTATACATATATCTTATCGAGCATTTTGAACATAACATGAGTCACATAACTGTTAAGCTTCTGAGATGTTCTTGTTTCGTTTAAAAATATTCAGAAGAGTTATTAGTTTCATTTAGGAGCCGAAGAAAAGTCTGGGTATTTTTATCTTATGTTTTTTTTGTTTTGTTTGTTTATTATTGTTGATTTTTGTTGGGGGAAGGGGGAGTTGTGGGTTTTTATTATTTTTATTCTGTTTTTTTTTTGTTTTGTTTTTTTACAATTTAGGTTTTAGAAATACTTGATTATACAACGAAAAAGATATTTTAATGCATATTATTTTCCATTTAGATTTTGAAAATGTCATTTGTAAATTGACGTTGGTTTTTCTTTGTGAGACGAACTGGCTTACTGCGTGACGACTGCCTAGACACTCAAACAACCTTGTCGTCAGCCATGTAAACTTTCATTTAAGTAGATTTATTTTGGACTACTGCATTTCCAAAAATGGACAATTGAATTCCTGGAGGTGACATTTCATTTGACAGTCAGACATGTTAAAATGATATCTATAGTGGCGACAGAGAGGCTTGTATCATGGCGTCGCTAAGAGAGACACTAATTCAGTTTTTTCAATGCATTGAAATTATTCAAAGTGAGAGGATTTTATATGATACCTCACCAACGCTTGTAAGCGTCTGGAATGAACTGGTAATGATTTGGAACAATGTAAGTCAGATCTACAGCGGTCACCGCTATCTTTTCCAAAAGGCCAAGTGAGCTTATGCCATAGCGCGGCGTTCGTCGCCCGTCCGCCCGTCCGTCGTCCGTCAACTTTTCATTTAAACAACTTCTTCTGAAATACCGAAAGGTGTAGAGATATCATATTTGGCTGGAAGGTTCCTTTGATGAAGCTCAACAAAGTTTGCGAAAAAGAAATGACCATGACCCATATTCAAGGTCACAGAGGTCAAATGTGTTGAAACATTTAAACAACTTCTTCCAAAATACTGCAAGGCCTAGAATCATTATACATGGCTGGAAGGTTCCTTTGATGAAGCCCAACAAAGTTTGCAAATGACCTTGACCCATATTCAAGATCACAGAGGTCAAATGTGTTAAAAACTTTAAGCGACTTCTTTCAAAATACCGGAAGGCCTAGAATCATTATATGAGGCTGCTATGTTCCTCTTATGGTGTCCTACAAAGTTTGTTAAAAGAAATGACCTTGATCAATCTTCAAGGTCACAGGAGTCAAATGTGTTAAAATGTTTAAACAATTTCTTCTGGAATATCAAAAAGCCTAGAATCATTATATTTGGTCCGTATTTCCTTTTATGAAGTCCAAGAAAGTAAAAGAAATGACCTTGACCCATAGTCAAGGTCACAGGGGTCAAATGTGTTAAACGTGCAACATATGCACAGATATAGTAATGTTTGTCATAAAGATCCAGGTGAGCGATACAGACACTCTGGGCCTCTTGCCTATTTTTATTTTGGACATGTGCATGTGAATATATTGATTATGATACCTCTACTATATGCTTTCGAAGCCTAACCTTAAAATGTGCGTCTGTTTGCGTGATTATCTCCTATAACAATTCTCAGATTTCAGTTCTTTCTCAGATCCACACCTGAATAATACATTATATTCTGAATCTTACTCCGTTGATCAATACCCCTTTAATACTACTGTGTATTGATCTCCCCAAGTTGGTAAAAAAAAACACAGAATAAGGTATTCCAGGTATATAGATAATAACTCGAGATAAACAACCACCTGCATGGTATGCTGTAAAAGTCAATCTACTTATTTCACCTGACAGATGAATTCATGACCAATTCATGTGTCCATGAACTGATAAAATTAGTATAAGTAGACTATTGAGCTATATTTATCCACGAAGTTCTGTGTCAAAAATAACCAAAACCAAAACACACTGAGTGCCAAGGAAATATGATGATTTTACAATATATGTTTTCTGTACAGTTTTTTGTCGGTATAGGACTAAATGTGATCTTAGTGGACTGTGACTGGAGACTTCTCGGTTTCCGGCTTCTTTTCCAAATTGAAATTCATTCGAATAGTGGCACGGCTAAGAATATAGACTTTCTTGAATTATCAGATATCAACTTATTTAGCTCATTTAACTTATCAAGATTTTGATATTTCTTTAAATTATTTTATCGATGTTTCTCTTTCGAATCATCAGCATCACTGATGACTCATGAAAGGACGAAACAGCTGTTTTACTAATTGTTTATCTCAACTGTATCTAGCTGTAAATTTGTATTATAAGGTGTATTCCTTTGTATTCCTTTTATAGGTAGGGCGGTCGATTTTCCTTTGTTCTAAATGATAGAGACAGTATTGTGATCAGATTTTTTAAAAATGCCTTATGCAAAAGACATTTTATTCGCAAAATTCGCTAGTAGCAAATTTCATAAAACCTCAGTAAAAGTTATTGACAGGTGACTGTCACAACCGCACAAAGCCGATCACAGTATTTTCGACTCGACAGTGATCGTCTTGGGGAAATCATGATACCAGAGACATCGGATGGTCATTCACCTTTAGTGTCAAATGAGTCAGTTGTGCGCACGATGTCTGCTATTGCACATTTGTGCTCACGTTGTGCAATTCCATCGTGATTAATATAAATTTAGGAATGACCAAGTGTGGGATTGGGTTTATCTATTTTTTAAATATATAAGAATTCAACTAAGTATATTTCCTAGTTAAGCCATTCATATATAGGTCGGACACTTGTAGGTATCAGACACATATAATATTTTGGTATCTTTCACGAGTGCGAAGCACGAGTGAAAGATACCAAAAAAATTAGCCACACGAGTGAAATATATTTGTTATTACTGAAGACACTATTAAATATTCTGTTTATTACATTTTCATCGCAAAAATAAACCAAAACAATGGCAAACTTACGATAACTATAAAATGGGTAAGTTGACCATGCTTTTTCCAGACACTACTCACTCATTATACAACGATGTTGTGCGCGGCAGAAAAATGTCCATTTTATAAAATCAATAAAAATATACAGACTCATAAATAATTCATAATGAATGTTCATTTGTGTTTGGACATGGATTTTGTAATTTATTGATGTAACTTATACACAATAAACTGGTTTAAACGTTAACTCAAAAAATAAAAACAGTGTTTGATAAATTATTCCGCGCATGAAAAAGTATGGCGCCATCCTAGTCGCTGTCATTATCAATGACACGGATTCTTTTAAAATTCCTTGGTCCACACTCAAGACTCTCAGAACGGGGATGGGTTTGACCACTGATAACATAGAGTTACTGGCTTGCATCGTCTGCTGACTGCCATGAAAATGGAAATTTACGGTGGAGTTGAAGGTTGTGCTCCCAGTGAACAAACCCCCGACAGAATTGGAGTATATTTGTATTGGGCTCTCTGATTGGTCAATCCTCAAAGTGATATTCTAGTGAAAAATATAAAAAAAAGTGACTTTTAAGATATCCCTATATTTCACTGCTAAAAATGTAATAAACACGGAATAGTTAGATACACCCGTAATTTTAAGTGTTTTGTTTACAAAAGCCACACGTGACCAGCTTGAGTGTAGGACACACACACGTATATATACATTATATTAAATGGACGTCTCTTTATGTCACAGCAATGATCATACCGTCAGAAAGGAAATTGTACCTTCGTTACTTCTGTATTACCATCCTTTTCCATTCATTTGATAAACGAAAATATACACTAAGGTATATCATTAGTGCTGTGTTTGTTACTCGGGCAAGACAGCCGATTACGGATCCGGACCTGTCATGTTTATAACCGATTACAGGTAAACTTTGTTGCCCAAGGCACAACTGCTCGCCCGGTCCTGAGGTGTGAAACTATATACGACAAGATTAATGCAGATCCAGTGTTATTTCGAAAACTGTTGAATTAAGAATTACTTTTATAATTACCAATCAATTAAAATGTCCATGTGACCGTTATTTAGTAATAACTACACGAATGTTTTGTTTAATCTTGAATCCGTAATATTTAGCCAATCATTCTGACCAAACCTCACAAAATGTGCGATCCTATCGCACCGTTGTGAGCACGAAGGTTTTAATGCGTTGTGCGTTACCACAACTGTCGCACAAACAAACAAACAAATAAATAAATAAAACGTCACTTTATTCCTTTCGCGTGACAATTTCCCGAGGACACAACAAAACCATCAACGGTTTATGCTGTGACGATCTCATTACATAATACCTCGACAATTCAGAGAGAGGTTCAACATTCGGTGAACACCAGAAGAGAAGCATTTGTATCATCAGCTCATTGAATCCATCTCGGAAACATCACAATCTCCTTTAACATTTTCAAACCCACCACGTCCTAGTATGTTGAATTTAGCTAATCGTTTGAATGATCGCTGATAAGTTCGCTCCAGATTGTTGTAAGCCGGCTTTATGTCGTCCTCCGATGGTCCCCAACTTGAAGAAGGTTTTAAAAGTTTCGCGAACCGCTGTGAAAAACAAATATAACTGCTAAATAGAAAAACGAAAGATTAAGTTAATAATATCAAAAACTTGTTGTTGACAATAACAGAAAGCGAGGAACTATGAAATCTAAAAGACAGAGAACATTTGTCACGGATTGGTTAGCATCATGTATCAGTGATGGATCGCGTCGACAGGATTATTGTGCAGAGGTTATCTTCCTTAGCTCATGCTCTTTATTTGATCATTCACAAAACCTCCAGAACCTCCCTTCCTCAGCCACCTTCCCCGTTCTTTTTACTTAAACTTTTCTATAATTTTGAAATAATAGTATAAATTCGTAATACTTTTTTTTTTCTCGATTTTTAATAAGGATTTGTTCTGTTTAAGATAATATAAAAAGCCTGAAATAGACTTCAGATACATTGTTGAAGAAAAAGATGAATTTCGTCAATAGAGACGCAAATTAAGATCACTTCATACATTTCACAACGTCATTGGCTTAAACAGGGTTTTTTTCTGAAAGAACAGGATATTTGTGCAGTAGGAGGTTTTGTGAAAATAGAACAGGATATTTGTGCATTAGGAGGTTTTGTGCAAATAGAACAGGATATTTGTGCAGTAGGAGGTTTTGTGCAAATAGAACAGGATATTTGTGCAGTAGGAGGTTTTGTGAAAATAGAACAGGATATTTGTGCAGTAGGAGGTTTTGTGCAAATAGAACAGGATATTTGTGCAGTAGGAGGTTTTGTGCAACTAGAACAGGATATTTGTGCAGTAGGAGGTTTTGTGCAACTAGAACAGGATATTTGTGCAGTAGGAGGTTTTGTGCAACTAGAACAGGATATTTGTGCAGTAGGAGGTTTTGTGCAACTAGAACAGGATATTTGTGCAGTAGGAGGTTTTGTGCAACTAGAACAGGATATTTGTGCAGTAGGAGGTTTTGTGCAAATAGAACAGGATATTTGTGCAGTAGGAGGTTTTGTGCAACTAGAACAGGATATTTGTGCAGTAGGAGGTTTTGTGCAAGTAGAACAGGATATTTATGGATCTAAAGGTTTTGTGAAAGAATATGATATTTGTGGAGCAAGGGTTTTGTGAAAGAACAGGTTTTTTTGTGGAGCAGGAGGTTTTCTGAAAGAACAGGATATTTGAGGATCTGGAGGTTTTGTGAAAGTACAAGATATTTGTGGAATCAGGAGGTTTTAAGAAAGAACAGGATATTTTTGAATCTGGAGGTTTTGTGAAAGAACAGGATATTTGTTGATCAGGAGGTTTTAAGAAAGAACAGGATATTTGTGGATCAGGAGGTTTTAAGAAAGAACAGGATATTTGTGGATCTGGAGGTTTTAAGAAAGAACAGGATATTTGTGGATCTGGAGGTTTTAAGAAAGAACAGGATATTTGTGGATCTGGAGGTTTTAAGAAAGAACAGGAAATTTGTGGATCAGGAGGTTTTAAGAAAGAACTGGATATTTGTGGATCTGGAGGTTTTAAGAAAGAACTGGATATTTGTGGATCTGGAGGTTTTAAGAAAGAACAGGATATTTGTGGATCAGGAGGTTTTGTGAAAGAACAGGATATTTGTGGATCTGGAGGTTTTGAAAATAACATTGTAGTAAATATATATTATAAAATGGTATATTTTCTCTACAGTTGCGAAATATAAATTTCAGGTCCTGATAGTAGTATGCTAGAATTCCTGCTTCAATTGACTCGTATTTGATTCGGAGAACATTACAATGATTGACAAAGTTTATGCATACCATATCGAAAATCCTGTACTATTTCAAAGGTTTCCGAGGCTATCTTTTGTTTGTTACTTTATGTCAAATTACAGTATATTGAAATGACTTTTAAGTTTTTTTCTCTTCTTGAACCAATCGAATTACTTCGCTTGGGCCTTTAATTTTGAAGGGCATGTTTCAGGTGTCCATAGAGCGAAAGTGATTGTACCCCTGGAGTATCGAGGATGTAGTGATCGAAACACCTGGAGTATCGAGGATGTAGTGATTGTACCCCCTGAAGTATCGAGGATGTAGTGATCGTAACACCTGAAGTATCGAGGATGTAGTGATTGTAACATCTGAAGTATCGAGGATGTAGTGATTGTAACATCTGGAGTATCGAGGATGTAGTGATTGTAACATCTGGAGTATCGAGGATGTAGTGATTGTAACATCTGGAGTATCGAGGATGTAGTGATTGTAACCCCTAAAGTATACAGGATGTAGTTATCGTAACCCCTGGAGTATACAGGATGAAGTGATCGAAACCCCTGGAGTATCGAGGATGTAGTTATCGTAACCCCTGGAGTATCAAGGATGTAGTGATTGTAACATCTGGAGTATCGAGGATGTAGTGATCGAAACCCCTGGAGTATCGAGGATGTAGTTATCGTAACCCCTGGAGTATCAAGGATGTAGTGATCGTAACACCTGGAGTATCGAGGATGTAGTGATTGTAACATCTGGAGTATCGAGGATGTAGTGATTGTAACATCTGGAGTATCGAGGATGTAGTGATTGTAACCCTTAGAGTATACAGGATGTAGTGATTGTAACCCCTGAAGTATACAGGATGTAGTTATCGTAACCCTTGGAGTATACAGGATGTAGTGATTGTAACCCCTGGAGTATACAGGATGTAGTGATTGTAATCCCTGGAGTATCGAGGATGTAGTGATTGTAACCCCTGAAGTATACAGGATGTAGTGATCGTAACCCTTGGAGTATCGAGGATGTAGTGATTGTAACCCCTGGAGTATACAGGATGTAGTGATTGTAATCCCTGAAGTATCGAGGATGTAGTGATTGTATCCCCTGGAGTATCGAGGATGTAGTGATTGTAACCCCTGAAGTATACAGGATGTAGTGATCGTAACCCTTGGAGTATCGAGGATGTAGTGATTGTAACCCCTGGAGTATACAGGATGTAGTGATTGTAATCCCTGAAGTATCGAGGATGTAGTGATTGTATCCCCTGGAGTATCGAGGATGTAGTGATTGTAACCCCTGGAGTATCGAGGATGTAGTGATTGTAACCCTTAGAGTATACAGGATGTAGTTATCGTAACCCTTGGAGTATACAGGATGTAGTGATTGTAATCCCTGAAGTATCGAGGATGTAGTGATTGTATCCCCTGGAGTATCGAGGATGTAGTGATTGTATCCCCTGGAGTATCGAGGATGTAGTGATTGTAACCCCTGCAGTATCGAAGATGTAGTGATTGTAATCCCTGAAGTATCGAGGATGTAGTGATTGTATCCCCTGGAGTATCGGGGATGTAGTTAATGTAACCCCTGGAGTATCGAGGATGTAGTGATTGTAATCCCTGGAGTATCGGGGATGTAGTTAATGTAACCCATGTAGTATCGAGGATGTAGTGATTGTACCCCGTGGAGTATCGAGGATGTAGTGATTGTAACCCTTGGAGTATCGAGGATGTAGTGATTGTAATCCCTGAAGTATCGAGGATGTAGTGATTGTATCCCCTGGAGTATCGAGGATGTAGTAATCGTACCCCTGCAGTACCGAAGATGTAGTGATTGTAACCCCTGTAGTATCGAGGATGTAGTGATTGTAACCCCTGGAGTATCGGGGATGTAGTTAATGTAACCCATGTAGTATCGAGGATGTAGTGATTGTACCCCGTGGAGTATCGAGGATGTAGTGATTGTAACCCTTGGAGTATCGAGGATGTAGTGATTGTAACATCTGAAGTATGGAGGATGTAGTGATTGTAACATCTGGAGTATCGAGGATGTAGTGATTGTAACCCCTGAAGTATCCAGGATGCAATCGTGACGTCCACGTGTATCAATTACAATTTGCGCATGCTCCATTGAACGCCTTTTTCCGAACAAGCATATCCCATACTCGACGGGAACCCATTTGTTGAATAGTCGCTTACGCTAGATACAGCCCAGTCACCCTTGCTCCTTGTGACTAAGCAATCTCGTCCAAGAGGATAAAGTAAGGCCCGATAAACTCCAGCGTATGGTGATGTAAGCAAGACGAAAGATTTCATCGCAGTATATTTAGTAAAGCAGCGGCAGTCTGGAACATGTGGAGATTTTTCAGCGAAATGTCACTGTTGGTACTGCGTTGTAAACCATCAACGACCTCCATCATGGAGTTACCGTTAGCCATATACTTGACACCACCATTGGGAAACCTCAAGTCTACTTCTACCTGACGTTGGCACCAGCTTGTAGCATTCTTATGTCCCTTTTCATTTTACCGTTACCGGATTCGTCTTCATTCCATGTTAATTAAAAAAGCGCAAAGAATATGTACACAAATTGATTCCTCAACAATTTTAACAACGCCTTTTGGAAGATACCCGTGGAGAAGCTTGCACTTACTTTATGGTTGATTAAATATGACACACATCCACACACTTTTTCGATATCAACATTTTAATCACATACCTCTCCTAAAGATCCCTTTTCCCTTTTAACAATGGATGCCATGTAGAGGAAGATTGGTACGATGGACGCCATGGAGAAACACCAGCCGATACTGCGAGCATAATCCGGGTATTCGTATGTACCGTAAGTAGGAGGTTTGTATTTAAAAATACTCACAACCACCAAAAACTGGAATGTAATTTTATCAGGTGTTATCATTAATAACAAAAATCAACATTAGAATAAAAAAAAGACCACGAAATGCCAGCAAGACAACAACTAAGCTATCAAATACTACAATAACGTTAGGGCATCGTGTCAGTTTGACAATGACTTGTTTTAAAGTGTGTCGTTCTTGTAGGAATAATGCTCAAACACATACGATTAATGTACACGAACCCATTCAATGACATCGGCTCATTTTGGTTAAATAAACAGATATTATCTTAATTCCCACTAACCGTAAGGATGATTGGCATGACAAATGCTGTCGCGATCCGTACAAACACTGGTAGAGGTCGTCCCAACATCAACATGGCGTCCCGACTTAGACGGTCACCGCCTAGGTAAATAAAACAACAGTGTTAGCCAGCAGAAACAATTCATTGACCCACAATGCCACAACACATCCAGAAAGTAATCGCTTTAAAAGTTTGCCAAATGAAATCAGCAAAAAATGAAGTTAATTGTTCATGTTTTTCAATGTAACAGTTGTTTATTCCAAGAGACAAAGGTAAGGACTTTTCATCTTTTAAAGTTGCACCAATTAAGGACTCTTTCTGTAAAATTGACAAGATTTTACAACGGTTTGCTCTACTTTCAAAATCGTAGCACCCTGAGGAAAATCATTTTTATCTTTCATGTATTTATGATGCACAAAATAACTAAAATGCACTAAAACATAAACAATTTTATCGATTACTAGTACAACATCCAAAAACCTGTAGTATTCTCTCACTTACCGTACACCCATGCAAATAAGATGGACTCCGTGACGGCTATTAGGAGGACACTCCAGGTGGCAGTGTACCAGTCTATCAATTGGAACATGTACACACCAGCCTGAACGATATAGAATAATCTTAAATCAGCTGTGCAAATAATTGAATGTCTCTTCTATTTGTTAACACTTAATTTGAGTGATTTCCATTTTTCAAAGTAGCCGTCTAGAATTCAACCCCTATGGGCCCCTAGCATCACTGACGAAAAGGATGAATCACCTGTTTGATGCAGTTAAAGTAATTGGCGGATCAAGGGTGGGGGTGGGGGGAGGGGGGCAGAACCTACCCCCAACCCCTACATACACACCCCTACCCTCTCAAATTTGCCAAGTGACCATGATTTAAAAAATTAACAAACGAAAATTCCATCATCACCACCTATTTTGGTCTATCGAATACTAGTACACTACAAATCCTATAGAATAACCAAATTGAGGACATCAGTTACAATTCCATTGATAAAATCAATACTATGCGACCTAAAGGTTACGTATAGTTTTCATTCTATCGTTGACTTGTGCAATTACCACCAAGTATATACGAACGAGTTTCGACGGGAGGGGTACCGTATTACATATTTATTATTTATTAATCAGTTCACGATAACATTATTATACCTTGTAATTAGATTAATTTTAGTCCCACGGTACTATTTTTCATTGATTACGTGTGCCCTTCTTACTCGAAGTCTTGGATCCGTCCATGAAGTTCGACATAACACTGATTTCGTTACCTGAGTAGCAAGTGGGATCCCACAGATGAATGTGAATATGGTGAGTCCGGTAAGGAGCGGAATTCTCCTTCGGCCGATTGTTGTAGGAAAGTTTTCTTCTAGTACACAAAGTACTGGTTCCATGAGAGTAGTCTGGAGAACATGGTCATTAGGGTTACAAATAAATCAGGAAAGTTCACTCCAACCAAAATTTCAACATGAACGTGTCCAGTGGGCTTAATGGAGTACAAACTGACTATACATAATGCGAGCTAATGGTATTGTGAAAAGTGTCATTAATGTACGTTTTTAAAATCCATTTCTAGAATCATTAATTGCCTTTTTCAAATTATTTACCCTTTTTCATTATCGAATCAGACCTGGAAATAATTTTCACTGAAATGGCTATTTCATCTTTATGATTGATACGGTCGAGATGTCAATATTTATGACCACCAGGAAACATTGACACAATGAAGACATAGATTACAGGCTGTAATTTGTACGGTCTTTAGAAGTTTTAAATATGAAGCGAACTAAATCTAAAGTAAACACAATGTATACTAAAACAAGTTTTAGTGTCCTTTGATGACATCAGAGATGTTCCGAATAATTCACTTCCGGAAGAAAATAAATTTATGGCTTGTTTCCATCATTTATATATCTTGTACTCGAAAGACTGTGAATATGAATAAACTCTACTACTGTTATGATATCACTATTTCATCCGTAAAATATAGTATGTGATTTTGATGTATTTTTAAAAAGTCATGACTCGGCAGCTGGCTCACCTGACAGTCTAGGCCTGGTAGCAATAGCACGATAAAGAACAGCACGGCCCAGATTTGAGGCAGAGGGAAGTACGTTATCGCCTGTGGGTAGGCCACGAACCCCAGGGAGAACCCCCCTGTAATTGAAACATCATTTTTTATTATGTGCATTTCTCTTTATCTTAATACCCTAAAAGGACATACAAAACGACAACGGAATATCGGAAACAGCTGAATAGTATTCCGACTGAAAGATTCAAAAAGACAACAAAGGATATAATGTTTTTATACCAGATATGCTATCATCTTCTAGGCTTCTTGGCCATTCAAAACAGTAGCACTTCATTATCAAAACGGAACACGGGATTCATTTTAGGGTAGAAATTATGACGCCATGCCCCGTTTTATTGTCATGGTAGAGAAACTACTCTCGGTTTCCTTTCGAAGGGACCGAGATTATATCTTATCCTTACAAATCGGGAGATCATAAAGTCACGTGACCATTGGTATAGCAAAAAGAGCTTGCCGAGATATTGCTAGTAGCTATATCACGTAATGTGAATGGCTTTATCATACTGTTTCTCACCACCCAGAACTCCTTAAAAAGAAATATTTTCACTTTTCATATATAATCATTATCTTTTTTTCTTCCAAATTTCAATTATGCAAATTACAACATACCTGACGTAATGACCTTGTTGATTGGTACGTTGCTCTCGTGCGATAACACTCCAATTACCGAGAAGATGACCAAACCGTTCAGTAGACCGTAACATACTGTCATCACCGTGCTAATTATAGCATCTCTGTAGTACAAAATAACACACCGTCATTTCCGTGCTAATTATAGCATCTCTGTAGTACAAAATAACGCACCGTCATTTCCGTGCTAATTATAGCATCGCTGTAGTACAAACTAACACACCGTCATTTCCGTGCTAATTATAGCATCTCTGTAGTACAAAATAACACACCGTCATTTCCGTGCTAATTATAGCATCTCTGTAGTACAAAATAACACACCGTCATTTCCGTGCTAATTATAGCATCTCTGTAGTACAAAATAACACACCGTCATTTCCGTGCTAATTATAGCATCTCTGTAGTACAAAATAACACACAGTCATTTCCGTGCTAATTCTAGCACATTTTCACATGTCCATATTTTCTATCCTAACCCTTCTGAACCAAATGTTTGATCAAACAAACTTACAGTTAGTGTTTACAGTTTAAACATATTGTATTGCAAAAGCAAATGGATTGGGCACAAGTTATCTCAACTTATAAGAGCCCTCTCCATAATAATATATACAATGAATGTGACAACAGCTTTGTACAGTTACAACTTATTTTCAAATGTAAAATGTAGTAGGGAAAAAAGAAGGGAAGAAAAGATGGGAGAGGAAGAGAAGAAATTGATTTAACAATATGACGTAGTCATCGCTCATGCCTGGCACTATAACTGCACAACACATCCTTCCTTCTTACACAGTTCATTAAAACACCATTCCTATAGGCCATCTCGTTCTCTTCAAGGCTTTCAATTAAGCTTATCTAAAGTGCCAGGCAAACATTCCTCGTAATTAATTAATAACATTCAATATTAATAAATTAATATAGTTACAAGTAGCTATTAGAGATACAGAAAGGAGAAGAAGGCAAGATCACCCATTCACTGAGTGAAGTCAGAATCTGTTGCTGGCCCGCATGTATGTTTGTACGATGTGAAAAAATATCTTCGTTTTCAGTAACGGCGAGTTAAGATTTATCAGACAAAAACGTTTCGAGATTGATTGGGTAATACGGACACAATTTACAAACATGTTTGCTCTCAAAATAGTATAATTAGGACATTCAAAAAAATAATGATATGCATCTTCACAAAAGTGTCCACAAGAACATGATGATGATTCTACTAAGTTTACACGGTACAAATCGTTAATTAAAGCACTGCAGTGAAATCTTAATTTAGTATGAATTATATTTAAACGACGTGGTCCGTAATTAAAGAAAATAGTATATTTGTTTTGTCTTGGACTGGTAGTTTTTCTAAATTTAGACACAGATGGTAGATTTCTTGTTTCATCGGGAAGATTGTTCCAGAGTTTAATAGTGTTAGGCAAAAAAAGACATTTGGTATTAGTTAGTCTATAATTCGGTAATATATAATCATTGTTATTTCTTAATTCATACCTATTTAAATTACTGTTAACTGTTGGTAAAAGATCGTGAAAATAAGAAGGTGTTAGATTAAATTCGTTCTATTTCTAGTATAGAGGAAGAACCATAGGTCAATGAAGTATCGTCGGCAAACAAACGTGATACACTTAATAATTCATCGGGTATATCATTGATATTAGGAACAAAAGAGGCCCTAAAATTGAACCTTGGGGAACTCCAGCTTTAATTGTTTGGTAATTAGAAAAATGTTCACCTACAAATACTCTTTGTTGTCTTGATTTTAGATAATGTATTAACCAGTTCAGAATGGTTCCTGATATACCATAAGATTTAAGTTTTGATATCAGACCCTTGTGCCAAACTATGTCAAATGCTTTTGAAATATAACAGAAAACAATGCATGTGTGTTTCTTTTCCTCAATATTGAGACAAAAGTTGTGGTAGATTTCAATGAGTTGGTGAACGGTAGAGTGTGTAGGCATAAAACCAGATTGTTTTGTATAAAATAACGAATTTGTTAAAAAAAAATAATTATAAATATGCTTAAAAACCACTCTTTCAAAACTTTACCAATCGTGGATAACAATGCTATAGGTCTATAATTAGGAGGTGAATGTTTTTCTTCTTTTTTATAAAGTGGCATAACGTTTGCCTTTTCCCACAAATTAGGATAAACACACTGTGTGAGAGACATATTGTATAATAGTGTTAAAGGTCTGCACACTTTGTGAGCTGTATAACGTAACATATGATGACGGATCCCGTCTACACCAGATGCTTTACCTCATTTCAATTTTTTGAGAACATCAGTTACTTCATCTGTATTAATAATTATGTTGCTAAAATTTGAAATTGTTTTAGGGGCTAGGTTCGGTACCTGAACTTCAGAGTCGTCTAACTGACTTATTGAAATAAAATAATTATTTAGTAGTTCCGCTTTCTCTGTATCGTTATGTTTTACATTAACAGTATGTGGATCTATAAGAGGAGGCATTTCATTGGTTGCATTTTTTTATTTAATTAAATTTCTAAGTAATTTCCAATATGATTTGGGGTAGGATTTAATAAAACTGTCAATGACGTCATCTAAATTTCCATAAAAGTTTTCACGAGCGTGTTTTTTCATGTTATTTACTCGATTTCTCGCTTTTTTAAAATTCAATATGTCATTCTCACGTTTAGTTAACCTATGTTTTTATGTAGCCTATTGCGGATTCTGATGTTTTTACGCAACTCCGAATTCATCCACGGTTTGTCGTTGGGTCATATAGTGACAAGTTAAGATGGAATACTCTCTTTAGCAAAGGATATAAATTGATCAGTAAAATTTAAACAAGCTTCCTCAATATCCCTAGATTCAAGAATCATATCTTCCCAGGAAAAATTTTCTATTAATCTATTTAGTTTAGTAAAGTTAGCACGTTTATAAAACCAAACCTGACACTTATAAGACTTAGTTAATTTAAAATTTACCTCAATAGATGCTAAACATGCTTCATGATCACTAATGTCTCTAGTAATAGGCAATACTGATGATTCTATACATTTAATTGATTCAGATAGTATGATTGGATCTAGAAGAGTAGCTCGTGTGTTTCCTATTCTAGTAGGTTGGGTAATGATGTTTTTTAAATTAAAATTATTAAGTATTTCAGAGAGTCTATGATATTGTGTCATTGTAATTAAATCAACGTTGACATCTCCAACAATGATTATGTTCGATGTAATATCTTATGCTTTTTCAATAGAGGCATGCATATGATCCAAAAGGAATTTGTCGCATTAGGTGGTCTATAGATCACGGTAGGGAAACTACGTCACAAGATGGCGGGTGTATCTCTCGCTTCGCGGTAAGTCTGTCTTACTTTTTACTTCATATACCATACTCCATGAAATTTCCTGTAATACTTACTTGAAGCAGTAATCGGTAAATGTAACACATACCGGAAGCATTTGTCAGTAAACTGTACCACTTATGGAAGTTGCGGTCGGTAAAGTGGTGAAAGACTTTCCGGAAGCGGTTATTTTTTAAACTTTTTGTATCTCTTACCGGAAGCAGTTGTCGGTAAATTTATTATGACTTCCATACATGGCCAGTCCTCCCCAAGCCGGACCAAGAGTGTAGAAAGCCATGAATGCAGCTTCTATCCAAACCTAAACACAATACAAATTATTTGTGTTTTTCATACAATTAGATGTTTTGAATAAATGTTTGGAGAAATTCCTCTCAGGGACCAAAAATAAGTATATTAGTTTTATCCTAGTTTTGTTGAAACCTAACTGATGTTAATCTGCCAACATCGTATAAATTTTGTGTGTAATGTTGTTGAGGTTACCTCCCCTTTTTAAAATAATTACGTCATGTTTATGTCCGTGACTGCATACTTTAGTTGTACATTCATATATGGCCATTGGTTAATAACATGGTATGTAGTAAATGAGAATTATGTTATAGAGACGGACTGGAGGTATAGCCAGTCCTATTGTTGCATTATGCATAGTTATCCAAGTGCTATAAATAGGTTGAACGCAATCAAAACTTTTATCTCTTCATTCAGTCTATAACATGAGACCCTACTATGTGTTGGTGGGTACATTGTGGATGTGTCTGAACCTAACGTAATACATAACTACACAACTTTTCCCCCCAAATTGACTACCACGGATATTAAAGCCCGCTAATAATTTTTTAAAGCATGTTCCTTTTCAATCGCTACCAACGTTCCAGCGCCTTCATGTGGCTGTATAAACGTTATTTTTTACCGGAAGTAGTTTTCAGTGTCAGGGGTATCCGTATAAATTTTCCGTTCGTGCAAATTTACTTTTTATTTTTATTTTAGTTTGTCTGATTTTGAAATAGATACAAATAATATAAAATTGGTTCTGAAATTGTGGTAATGCTACCTCCTACCCTCCGATCTAATCATGAATTCTGACGAGGCTAGCCTAAAGATGGCGACCATCGCTCTGATTGAGACAGATGATCTACGTTGATATAGGGTTATCATAACGACACGGTAAAAATGTGTCACCGGAATCCGAAGTGTCGATTACTTCGATAATCAACTTTGTGACATGTTCCGAGTAACGTGTCGTTGGTTTATATTGCAATAATTACATTTTAGACTCAAATCATTTTAGAATGAGGAGAATATGCTTGTTTTATGCATATACTAAAGATAATGAATTTTGACGTTTTAATAGTCGACTACGTCTCATGTTAAAGCCAAATATTCATGGTCTAATTTCCAGTATACGCATAAAGACAGACATTCTGTTTCCCTTGATAAAGATTATAACATTTTTTCAAGTTATTCCAGTGTGTGTATATATATATAAATTAGTCCTGTTGAGCTGGTAGAGGTGCACGAGGAGTCCTCACTGTCAGAAGAAAACAGAAATTAAAAAAAAAATAATAAAAAGATCAAGGGAAAGCTACATCAAAATACACAAACAAACAACATTAGAAAAAGAAAATGAACTGATAACACAGGCATGATTCGAGTAAACTCCGGAAGAGTATGATGTTGAAATGTACAATTAAAATTTACTTTTAATTTACCTCGGAGTGGGTCAAGCGTTCGAAGTCAGGTGTGATGAAATACGCCATCCCTGTCGTGGACCCCTCAAGTGTGAGGGCCCGGATCCAGATGACAATTGTGAGTACTACAGGAGCAATGGCGGTAACGTACATCATCTGTAGATGAGAGGGTGTTTATTATATCAATGACGGTAACGTACATCATCTGTAGATGGGAGGGTGTTTATTATAACAATGGCGGTAACGTACACCATCTGTAGATGGGAGAGTGTTTATTACAACAATGACGGTAACGTACATCATCTGTAGATGGGAGGGTGTTTATTATAACAATGACGGTAACGTACATCATCTGTGGATGTGAGGGTGTTTATTATAACAATGGCGGTAACGTACATCATCTGTGGATGTGAGGGTGTTTATTATAACAATGACGGTAACGTACATCATCTGTAGATGGGAGAGTGTTTATCATAACAATGGCGGTAACGTACATCTTCTTTAGATGGGAGAGTGTTTATTATAACAATGACGGTAACGTACATCATCTGTGGATGGGAGGGTGTTTATTACAACAATGATGGTAACGTACATCATCTGTAGATGGGAGGGTGTTTATTACAACAATGGCGGTAACGTACATCATCTGTAGATGGGAGGGTGTTTATTACAACAATGGCGGTAACGTACATCATCTGTAGATGGGAGGGTGTCTATTATAACAATGGTGGTAACGTTCACCATCTGTGGATGGGAGGGTGTTTATTATAACAATGACGGTAACGTACACCATCTGTAGATGAGAGAGTGTTTATTATAACAATGACGGTAATGTACATCATCTGTAGATGGGAGGTTGTTTATCATAACAATGAAGGTAACATACATCATATGTAGATGGGAGGGTGTTTATCATAACAATGACGGTAACGTACATCATCTGTGGATGGGAGGGTGTTTATTACAACAATGACGGTAACGTACATCATCTGTGGATGTGAGGGTGTTTATTATAACAATGGCGGTAACGTACATCATCTGTAGATGGGAGAGTGTTTATTATAACAATGACGGTAACGTACATCATCTGTAGATGGGAGGGTGTCTATTATAACAATGGTGGTAACGTTCACCATCTGTGGATGGGAGGGTGTTTATTATAACAATGGCGGTAACGTTCACCATCTGTGGATGGGAGGGTGTTTATTATAACAATGACGGTAACGTACATCATCTGTGGATGGGAGGGTGTTTATTATAACAATGGCGGTAACGTACATCATCTGTAGATGGGAGAGTGTTTATTATAACAATGGCGGTAACGTGCATCATCTGTGTATGTGAGGGTGTTTATTATAACAATGACGGTAACGTACATTATCTGTGGATAAGAGAGTGTTTATTATAACAATGACGGTAACGTACATTATCTGTGGATAAGAGAGTGTTTATTATAACAATGACGGTAACGTACATCTTCTGTGGATGGGAGGATGTTTATTATAACAATGGCGGTAACGTACATCATCTGTAGATGGGAGAGTGTATATTATAACAATGACGGTAACGTACATCATCTGTGGATGTGAGGGTGTTTATTATAACAATGGTGGTAACATACACCATCTGTGGATGGGAGGGTGTTTATTATAACAATGACGGTAACGTACATCATCTGTAGATGGGAGGATGTTTATTACAGCAATGACGGTAACGTACATCATCTATGGATGGGACGGTGTTTATTATAACAATGGCGGTAACGTACATCATCTGTTGATGTGAGAGTGTTTATTATAACAATGACGGTAACGTACATCATCTGTGGATGGGAGGGTGTTTATTATAACAATGGCGGTAACGTACATCATCTGTAGATGGGAGGGTGTTTATTATAACAATGACGGTAACGTACATCATCTGTTGTTTGCTATTAATTTACGTGTCATTTAAACTCCAAACAAACAAACAAACGTGTCTTTTATTTTTTTAATGGAAATATTAGATATTTACTATCATTAAAAGTTGTCCTACCTTTCCGATAGATTGTATACTTCTCACTAGAGACAGCCAGATGATCACGTGACACCCCAGTAGATACAGAAGATATTTCCAATTCAGTCGGCCAATATCATCTAGCCCAGAGGAAATATCCAAGACCTTGTAGCTGTAGAAATCAAATATAAACGGAAAATCAACTCAAACGTAATGTATGTTCTACTGAATATCAATGACTTAGTGTGTGACAGCATTACAATCATTATTTGGGGCTAAATATTCGCTTTAAGCCCCAAATAATGTTTGTTATTTCAGGAATACATCTTTTATGGTTTATAAAAGGAATACACTCAATAAAACAAAATGTTAATTAAAAAAAAAATAAATTTCAAAACCTGGATCATTAGTTAATAAGGATGTATCTACAAGTATCCTGGTAGTAAAAGTAATGTGGTGATATATATGTTTATTGTGGTGTAAGTATATATACCACTAAAAAGAAAGATATTTAATTGAGTTTTATCCACTAAGATCTGAAAGTATGGTCTATTTTAATAACAAACCACCGGGATCTATCTGAAATTCGACTTTAAACGTTGATCAAGTATGAACACAATTTACATGGAAAATCGTGGAAGAATATCAAACATGAGTTCCGGGCGAGAAAGGGTTTGATACATCATTAGCGAAGTCAACGCTGTAATGTAGCATTCCCAAAAAGTCAACCGTTTAAAATAAATTAACCTAATTATTTACCGAGCATCAAACACGTTTCTAATAAATGGTCACTAATCTTGATTGTTTTCTTTCATGGGGTTGAACGTCCTCGCAAAAGCCGGGGTGATCAGAGGACCGACTATAAAAGTTTAACAGTATCAACCTGCTTTGAATGATTCGATCCGTACAGAGTAGCCTGCAAAAAGAGACATTTTATATTCAAATTTCATTTAAAAGATGTTTAAATATTTCAGTATGTCTGATATTGAAAGGGTTTGTTCCGAGGAAACCTACTTCCAGAATTCCTCCACAGACGACATAGGGATAAGTATGGTGACGTTGTCTCCAAACATTCCTGGTTCAGGAGAGGATGAATTCACAGACTGAAAGTTAAACAATCGTCATTAACGATATATTTTCCAGGCACGATGTTAATGGTATATAATATTGGAGTATTCATCAGCAGTGTTATGTGTGATGCTGACAAGACAGGAGAGAAAAAGTGTTGAAGTTGACTGCTCGCTTAACTTTAGTAAAAACTGGATGATCGGGTTATCTGTGTGAACAAATCTACATACTCAATTCGGTGGCGCGTAAGAGGGGGACCAATTGCCCCCCCCCCCCCCAACTTTTTTGAGTAGGAGGCAGACATATTTCTCCCATCAATTTCCTCTATTTAGTTAAAAAAAACAACAGAAGTTTATTACATTAATTTTACATTACTTATTTAATCCTTACTATTATAAAACAATCTACACATCAGTCAGATGATGAATCAGGAAGGTGAACAGTATTGGAATAATACAGAAATATTTAACATCAATGGATCAGATTAAGTGGAAATAATATCACTTCATCATTTTGACAGGAAATAGTCCATACATACAAATTATCCTGTGTTGAGTCCATACAGATAACGAGCAGACAAAAAACCTGACACAATAGTGTATGAATGAGACATTAAAATGATGTCCGGCTTCAGTAATGAATCTCTCAATCAACACAATAATGCGTTTATTCATCACTGAATCTAGCTCATGCCAACCATTAGGCAATATTTAGAGGAATACATTCATTAATGGTCAGAAAGAGAGGGAAAAGGAGTTGTATATACCCTAGCATGACTGAACCATTAACTTGTATATACCCTAGCATGACTGAACCATTAACTTGTATATACCCTAGCATGACTGAACCATTAACTTGTATATACCCTAGCATGACTGAACCATTAACTTGTATATACCCTAGCATGACTGAACCATTAACTTGTATATACCCTAGCATGACTGAACCATTAACTTGTATATACCCTAGCATGACTGAACCATTAACTTGTATATACCCTAGCATGACTGAACCATTAACTTGTATATACCCTAGCATGACTGAACCATTTACTTGTACATACCCTAGCATGACTGAATCACTGAACCATTAACTTGTATATACCCTAGCATGACTGAATCATTAACTTGTATATACCCTAGCATGACTGAACCATTAACTTGTATATACCCTAGCATGACTCAACCATTAACTTGTATATACCCTAGCATGACCGAATCACAGAACCATTAACTTGTATATACCCTAGCATGACTGAATCATTAACTTGTTTATACCCTAGCATGACTGAACCATTAACTTGTATATACCCTAGCATGACTGAATCATTAACTTGTATATACCCTAGCATGACTGAATCACTGAACCATTAACTTGTATATACCCTAGCATGACTGAATCATTAACTTGTATATACCCTAGCATGACTGAACCATTAACTTGTATATACCCTAGCATGACTGAATCATTAACTTGTATATACCCTAACATGACTGAATCACTGAATCATTAACTTGTATATACCCTAGCATGACTGAATCATTAACTTGTATATACCCTAGCATGACTGAATCATTAACTTGTATATACCCTAGCATGACTGAATCATTAACTTGTATATACCCTAGCATGACTGAATCATTAACTTGTATATACCCTAGCATGACTGAATCATTAACTTGTATATACCCTAGCATGACTGAATCACTGAATCATTAACTTGTATATACCCTAGCATGACTGAATCATTAACTTGTATATACCCTAGCATGACTGAATCATTAACTTGTATATACCCTAGCATGACTGAATCACAGAACCATTAACTTGTATATACCTTAGCATGACTGAACCATTAACTTGTATATACCCTAGCATGACTGAACCATTAACTTGTATATACCCTAGCATGACTGAATCACTGAATCATTAACTTGTATATACCCTAGCATGACTGAATCATTAACTTGTATATACCCTAGCATGACTGAACCATTAACTTGTATATACCCTAGCATGACTGAATCATTAACTTGTATATACCCTAGCATGACTGAATCATTAACTTGTATATACCCTAGCATGACTGAATCATTAACTTGTATATACCCTAGCATGACTGAATCACTGAATCATTAACTTGTATATACCCTAGCATGACTGAATCATTAACTTGTATATACCCTAGCATGACTGAATCATTAACTTGTATCTACCCTAGCATGACTGAATCACAGAACCATTAACTTGTATATACCCTAGCATGACTGAATCATTAACTTGTATATACCCTAGCATGACTGAACCATTAACTTGTATATACCCTAGCATGACTGAACCATTAACTTGTATATACCCTAGCATGACTGAATCATTAACTTGTATATACCCTAGCATGACTGAATCATTAACTTGTATATACTCTAGCATGACTGAATCATTAACTTGTATATACCCTAGCATGACTGAACCACTGAATCATTAACTTGTATATACCCTAGCATGACTGAACCATTAACTTGTATATACCCTAGCATGACTGAATCACTGAATCAATAACTTGTATATACCCTAGCATGACTGAATCACTGAACCATTAACTTGTATATACCCTAGCATGACTGAATCACTGAACCATTAACTTGTATATACCCTAGCATGACTGAACCATTATCTTGTATATACCCTAGCATGACTGAATCACTGAATCATTAACTTGTATATACCCTAGCATCACTGAACCATTAACTTGTATATACCCTAGCATGACTGAATCATTAACTTGTATATACCTTAGCATGACTGAACCATCAACTTGTATATACCTTAGCATGACTGAACCATTAACTTGTATATACCCTAGCATGACTGAATCATTAACTTGTATATACCCTAGCATGACTGAATCACTGAATCATTCACTTGTATATACCCTAGCATGACTGAATCTATAACTTGTATATACCTTAGCATGACTGAATCATTAACTTGTATATACCCTAGCATGACTGAATCACTGAATCATTAACTTGTATATACCCTAGCATGACTGAACCATTAACTTGTATATACCCTAGCATGACTGAACCATTAACTTGTATATACCCTAGCATGACTGAATCATTAACTTGTATATACCCTAGCATGAGTGAATCATTAAATTGTATATATCCTAGCATGACTGAATCATTAACTTGTATATACCCTAGCATGACTGAATCACTGAATCATTAACTTGTATATACCCTAGCATAACTGAATCATTAACTTGTATATACCCTAGCATGACTGAATCATTAACTTGTATATACCCTAGCATGACTGAATCATTAACTTGTATATACCCTAGCATGACTGAATCACTGAATCATTAACTCGTATATACCCTAGCATGACTGAACCATTAACTTGTATATACCCTAGCATGACTGAACCATTAACTTGTATATACCCTAGCATGACTGAACCATTAACTTGTATATACCCTAGCATGACTGAATCACTGAACCATTAACTTGTATATACCCTAGCATGACTGAATCATTAACTTGTATATACCCTAGCATGACTGAATCATTAACTTGTATATACCCTAGCATGACTGAATCATTAACTTGTATATACCCTAGCATGACTGAATCATTAACTTGTATATACTCTAGCATGACTGAATCATTAACTTGTATATACCCTAGCATGACTGAATCACTGAATCATTAACTTGTATATACCCTAGCATGACTGAACCATTAACTTGTATATACCCTAGCATGACTGAATCACTGAATCAATAACTTGTATATACCCTAGCATGACTGAATCACTGAACCATTAACTTGTATATACCCTAGCATGACTGAACCATTATCTTGTATATACCCTAGCATGACTGAATCACTGAATCATTAACTTGTATATACCCTAGCATGACTGAACCATTAACTTGTATATACCCTAGCATGACTGAATCATGAACTTGTATATACCCTAGCATGACTGAATCATTAACTTGTATATACCCTAGCATGACTGAATCACTGAATCATTAACTTGTATATACCCTAGCATGACTGAATCATTAACTTGTATATACCCTAGCATGACTGAATCATTAACTTGTATATACCCTAGCATGACTGAATCATTAACTTGTATATACCCTAGCATGACTGAATCACTGAACCATTAACTTGTATATACCCTAGCATGACTGAATCATTAACTTGTATATACCCTAGCATGACTGAATCATTAACTTGTATATACCCTAGCATGACTGAATCATTAACTTGTATATACCCTAGCATGACTGAATCATTAACTTGTATATACTCTAGCATGACTGAATCATTAACTTGTATATACCCTAGCATGACTGAATCACTGAATCATTAACTTGTATATACCCTAGCATGACTGAACCATTAACTTGTATATACCCTAGCATGACTGAATCACTGAATCAATAACTTGTATATACCCTAGCATGACTGAATCACTGAACCATTAACTTGTATATACCCTAGCATGACTGAACCATTATCTTGTATATACCCTAGCATGACTGAATCACTGAATCATTAACTTGTATATACCCTAGCATGACTGAACCATTAACTTGTATATACCCTAGCATGACTGAATCATGAACTTGTATATACCCTAGCATGACTGAATCATTAACTTGTATATATCCTAGCATGACTGAATCACTGAATCATTAACTTGTATATACCCTAGCATGACTGAATCATTAACTTGTATATACCCTAGCATGACTGAATCATTAACTTGTATATACCCTAGCATGACTGAATCATTAACTTGTATATACCCTAGCATGACTGAATCACTGAACCATTAACTTGTATATACCCTAGCATGACTGAATCATTAACTTGTATATACCCTAGCATGACTGAACCATTAACTTGTATATACCCTAGCATGACTGAACCATTAACTTGTATATACCCTAGCATGACTGAATCATTAACTTGTATATACCCTAGCATGACTGAATCATTAACTTGTATATACTCTAGCATGACTGAATCATTAACCTGCATATACCCTAGCATGACTGAATCACTGAATCATTAACTTGTATATACCCTAGCATGACTGAACCATTAACTTGTATATACCCTAGCATGACTGAACCATTAACTTGTATATACCCTAGCATGACTGAATCATTAACTTGTATATATCCTAGCATGACTGAACCATTAACTTGTATATACCCTAGCATGACTGAATCATTAACTTGTATATACCCTAGCATGACTGAATCATTAACTTGTATATACCCTAGCATGACTGAATCACTGAATGAATAACTTGTATATACCCTAGCATGACTGAATCACTGAACCATTAACTTGTATATACCCTAGCATGACTGAACCATTATCTTGTATATACCCTAGCATGACTGAATCACTGAATCATTAACTTGTATATACCCTAGCATGACTGAACCATTAACTTGTATATACCCTAGCATGACTGAACCATTAACTTGTATATACCCTAGCATGACTGAATCATTAACTTGTATATACCTTAGCATGACTGAACCATTAACTTGTATATACCTTAGCATGACTGAACCATTAACTTGTATATACCCTAGCATGACTGAATCATTAACTTGTATATACCCTAGCATGACTAAATCACTGAATCATTAACTTGTATATACCCCAGCATGACTGAATCATTAACTTGTATATACCCTAGCATGACTGAATCATTAACTTGTATATACCCTAGCATGACTGAATCACTGAATCATTAACTAGTATATACCCTTGCATGACTGAATCATTAACTTGTATATACCCTAGCATGACTGAATCATTAACTTGTATATACCCTAGCATGACTGAATCACTGAATCATTAACTTGTATATACCCTAGCATGACTGAATCATTAACTTGTATATACCCTAGCATGACTGAATCATTAACTTGTATATACCCTAGCATGACTGAATCATTAACTTGTATATACCCTAGCATGACTGAATCATTAACTTGTATATACCCTAGCATGACTGAACCATTAACTTGTATATACCCTAGCATGACTGAATCACTGAACCATTAACTTGTATATACCCTAGCATGACTGAATCATTAACTTGTATATACCCTAGCATGACTGAATCATTAACTTGTATATACCCTAGCATGACTGAATCATTAACTTGTATATACCCTAGCATGACTGAATCATTAACTTGTATATACCCTAGCATGACTGAACCATTAACTTGTATATACCCTAGCATGTCTGAATCATTAACTTGTATATACGCTAGCATGACTGAACCATTAACTTGTATATACCCTAGCATAACTGAATCATGAACCATTAACTTGTATATACCCTAGCATGACTGAATCATTAACTTGTATATACCCTAGCATGATTGAATCATTAACTTGTATATACCCTAGCATGACTGAATCATTAACTTGTATATACCCTAGCATGACTGAATCATTAACTTGTATATACCCTAGCATGACTGAATCATTAACTTGTATATACCCTAGCATGACTGAATCACTGAATCAATAACTTGTATATACCCTAGCATGACTGAATCATTAACTTGTATATACCCTAGCATGACTGAATCACTGAATCATTAACTTGTATATACCCTAGCATGACTGAATCACTGAATCATTAACTTGTATATACCCTAGCATGACTGAATCATTAACTTGTATATACCCTAGCATGACTGAATCACTGAATCATTAACTTGTATATACCCTAGCATGACTGAATCATTAACTTGTATATACCCTAGCATGACTGAACCATTAACTTGTATATACCCTAGCATGACTGAATCATTAACTTGTATATACCCTAGCATGACTGAATCATTAACTTGTATATACCCTAGCATGACTGAATCATTAACTTGTATATACCCTAGCATGACTGAATCATTAACTTGTATATACCCTAGCATGACTGAATCATTAACTTGTATATACCCTAGCATGACTGAATCACTGAATCATTAACTTGTATATACCCTAGCATGACTGAATCATTAACTTGTATATACCCTAGCATGACTGAATCATTAACTTGTATATACCCTAGCATGACTGAATCATTAACTTGTATATACCCTAGCATGACTGAACCATTAACTTGTATATACCCTAGCATGACTGAATCATTAACTTGTATATACCCTAGCATGACTGAATCATTAACTTGTATATACCCTAGCATGACTGAACCATTAACTTGTATATACCGTAGCATGACTGAATCATTAACTTGTATATACCCTAGCATGACTGAACCATTAACTTGTATATACCCTAGCATGACTGAATCACTGAACCATTAACTTGTATATACCCTAGCATGACTGAATCATTAACTTGTATATACCCTAGCATGACTGAATCATTAACTTGTATATACCCTAGCATGACTGAATCATTAACTTGTATATACCCTAGCATGACTGAATCATTAACTTGTATATACCCTAGCATGACTGAATCATTAACTTGTATATACCCTAGCATGACTGAATCATTAACTTGTATATACCCTCGCATGACTGAACCATTAACTTGTATATACCCTAGCATGACTGAATCATTAACTTGTATATACCCTAGCATGACTGAACCATTAACTTGTATATACCCTAGCATGACTGAATCACTGAATCATTAACTTGTATATACCCTAGCATGACTGAATCATTAACTTGTATATACCCTAGCATGACTGAATCATTAACTTGTATATACCCTAGCATGACTGAATCACTGAACCATTAACTTGTATATACCCTAGCATGACTGAATCACTGAATCATTAACTTGTATATACCCTAGCATGACTGAATCACTGAATCATTAGCTTGTATATACCCTAGCATGACTGAACCATTAACTTGTATATACCCTAGCATGACTGAATCATTAGCTTGTATATACCCTAGCATGACTGAACCATTAACTTGTATATACCCTAGCATGACTGAATCACTGAACCATTAACTTGTATATACCCTAGCATGACTGAATCATTAACTTGTATATACCCTAGCATGACTGAATCATTAACTTGTATACCCTAGCATGACTGAATCATTAACTTGTATATACCCTAGCATGACTGAATCACTGAATCATTAACTTGTATATACCCTAGCATGACTGAACCATTAACTTGTATATACCCTAGCATGACTGAATCATTAACTTGTATATACCCTAGCATGACTGAATCATTAACTTAAATGGACGAAACAGCTGTATGGGTCAGTTTTAATCGTCTTTTGTCTTAAGGGTATCTTATTCTAAATTTGCATTGAAAGGTGCTATCTTGACCAACATAACCTTTTCACGTAATATGACGACATACCATGTATGTGGTAAGATTGTACGTGGCGTTGACGGTGATATTACTGGCCAGTGACTGACCAGAGTGGACACATGCTGGAGTATTCCACGCATTGTCGCACGACGTCCACGGAAGTTTGGCCGAAAACGAGGCTATGATATACTCGATTATCCAGGGTTTGTGCAGCATAGTGTATGCCGCCACAATCCAATTGATGATGAGGAACGCAATTCCAAACCCTAGCCAACATAGCAAGAAAATTAGGTACGACACTGAGTTGAACGTCTTAATAAAGAATCAGTACAACGGTATTTTAAAGCGACATCATTTATTATTTTTGTGATATGCGTCGTGTTAACAAAGTAAATTGCTTCGTTTCAAACCTGTCACGTTTATTCTACAGACTGTTTCATAGAGCTGACGACAGTTATAAGGCTAAAAACAGTGCTACTTGGTCAGACACTCAAAACTTTATTGAGGCTGAAGTAACTTTACCAGCAGTCAAGAACTTCGGGCATTTCAATACTACAAATACACAATGTTAGCAAGGCTTCTAAGGTCAATGAGGTCGACAAAATCATCACCACATATTGTCTCGTGTTGAAGTTATCTTTATAAAGTTACGGTTGGTCTCGAGATTGGAGAAAACACGGAAAACAGTACACTACCTCTGAATAATGGACAGAAGTCCCAGACACGCCAAGTTCCTTTCCCGGAAAATTGTGACGTCATGATCTCCAGGAAATAGAGGGGAATTCCACACACCAGCATAAAGAATATGTACGGGATCAGGAACGCACCTGTCCAGTATTATTAATGTTCCTGAATAACTCATTCATTTGTGTATCAAAATAAATATCAATAAATGACGAAAAACCAGTCACCATGGCAAGATAGGATTCCTTGTGTAAGATAAACAATGACAATATTTACCATGTTGTTTGCAATCAACATTATAGAAATGGTTAAATATTAATTCAAAATTTCAATTATTCTATTCCTGTTTTATACCATCAGATTAAACATATATATTTACCTCCTCCGTCCCTGTAGATGGTACCCTATGTATATTTACCTCCTCCGTCCCTGTAGATGGTGTCCTATGTATATTTACCTCCTCCGTCCCTGTAGATGGTGCCCTATGTATATTTACCTCCTCCGTCCCTGTAGATGGTACCCTATGTATATTTACCTCCTCGTCCCTGTAGATGGTACCCTATATATATTTACCTCCTCCGTCCCTGTAGATGGTACCCTATATATATTTACCTTCTCCGTCCCTGTAGATGGTACCCTATATATATTTACCTCCTCCGTCCCTGTAGATGGTACCCTATATATATTTACCTCCTCCGTCCCTGTAGATGGTACCCCATATATATTTACCTCCTCCGTCCCTGTAGATGGTACCCCATATATATTTACCTCCTCCGTCCCTGTAGATGGTACCCCATATATATTTACCTCCTCCGTCCCTGTAGATGGTACCCCATATATATTTACCTCCTCCGTCCCTGAAGATGGTACCCCATATATATTTACCTCCTCGTCCCTGTAGATGGTGCCCCATATATATATTACCTTCTCCGTCCCTGTAGATGGTACCCTATATATATTTACCTTCTCCGTCCCTGTAGATGGTGCCCTATATATATTTACCTCCTCCGTCCCTGTAGATGGTACCCTATATATATTTACCTCCTCCGTCCCTGTAGATGGTACCCTATATATATTTACCTCCTCCGTCCCTGTAGATGGTACCCCATATATATTTACCTCCTCCGTCCCTGTAGATGGTACCCCATATATATTTACCTCCTCCGTCCCTGTAGATGGTACCCTATATATATTTACCTTCTCCGTCCCTGTAGATGGTACCCTATATATATTTACCTCCTCCGTCCCTGTAGATGGTACCCTATATATATTTACCTCCTCCGTCCCTGTAGATGGTACCCTATATATATATTACCTTCTCCATCCCTGTAGATGGTACCCTATATATATTTACCTTCTCCGTCCCTGTAGATGGTGCCCTATATATATTTACCTCCTCCGTCCCTGTAGATGGTACCCAATATATATATTACCTTCTCCGTCCCTGTAGATGGTACCCTATATATATTTACCTTCTCCGTCCCTGTAGATGGTGCCCTATATATATTTACCTCCTCGTCCCTGTAGATGGTACCCTATATATATATTACCTTCTCCGTCCCTGTAGATGGTCCCTATATATATTTACCTCCTCCGTCCCTGTAGATGGTACCCTATATATATTTACCTTCTCCGTCCCTGTAGATGGTACCCTATATATATTTACCTTCTCCGTCCCTGTAGATAGTACCCTATATATATTTACCTTCTCCGTCCCTGTAGATGGTACCCTATATATATTTACCTTCTCCGTCCCTGTAGATGGTACCCCATATATATTTACCTCCTCCGTCCCTGTAGATGATATGTACCCTATATATATTTCCGTCCCTGTACCTCCTCCGTCCCTGTAGATGGTGACCAATGTATATTTACCTCCTCCGTCCCTGAAGATGATACCCCATATATATTTACCTCCTCCGTCCCTGTAGATGGTACCCTATATATATTTACCTCCTCCGTCCCTGTAGATGGTACCCCATATATATTTACCTCCTCCGTCCCTGTAGATGAAGTATGGTACCCTATATATATTTACCTCCTCCGTCCCTGTAGATGGTACCCTATATATATTTACCTCCTCCGTTCTGTAGATGGTACCCTATATATATTTACCTCCTCCGTCCCTGTAGATGGTACCCCATATATATTTACCTCCTCCGTCCCTGTAGATGGTACCCTATATATATTTACCTCCTCCGTCCCTGTAGATGGTACCCCATATATATTTACCTCCTCCGTCCCTGTAGATGGTGCCCTATATATATATTACCTTCTCCGTCCCTGTAGATGGTACCCTATATATATTTACCTTCTCCGTCCCTGTAGATGGTGCCCTATATATATTTACCTCCTCCGTCCCTGTAGATGGTACCCTATATATATTTACCTCCTCCGTCCCTGTAGATGGTACCCTATATATATTTACCTCCTCCGTCCCTGTAGATGGTACCCCATATATATTTACCTCCTCCGTCCCTGTAGATGGTACACCATATATATTTACCTCCTCCGTCCCTGTAGATGGTACCCTATATATATTTACCTCCTCCGTCCCTGTAGATGGTACCCTATATATATTTACCTTCTCCGTCCCTGTAGATGGTACCCTATATATATTTACCTCCTCCGTCCCTGTAGATGGTACCCTATATATATATTACCTCCTCCGTCCCTGTAGATGAAGTATGGTACCCTATATATATTTACCTCCTCCGTCCCTGTAGATGGTACCCCATATATATTTACATCCTCCGTCCCTGAAGATGGTACCCCATATATATTTACCTCCTCCGTCCCTGTAGATGGTACCCTATATATATTTACCTCCTCCGTCCCTGTAGATGGTACCCCATATATATTTACCTCCTCCGTCCCTGTAGATGAAGTATGGTACCCTATATATATTTACCTCCTCCGTCCCTGTAGATGGTACCCTATATATATTTACCTCCTCCGTCCCTGTAGATGGTACCCTATATATATTTACCTCCTCCGTCCCTGTAGATGGTACCTCATATATATATTACCTTCTCCGTCCCTGTAGATGGTCCCTATATATATTTACCTCCTCCGTCCCTGTAGATGGTGCCCTATATATATTTACCTCCTCCGTCCCTGTAGATGGTACCCTATATATATTTACCTCCACCATTTCTGTAGGTGAGATACGGGACCCGCCAAATATCCGTCAAACCCAAGGAGTATCCCAGAAGCGAGATGATAAATTCTTTTCTCGATGACCATTTGAGTTGGCTAGCTTGCGCTAAAACAGTCACTTTATCGTGTGACGGTTCCAGTCCATTCTTTTTAACCGTGCTCATTGTTTGTGAGAGTCACAGAGTTCCTGTTGTCGACTCTACCGGTCACATTCAGAGTGCTGAAAATGAAATTTTAAAACCTTCTTTAATACTGACTAATGTTTCAACACTAATTATATGTACCAACATGACACTCAGTAAGTAATACATACTATCTGTATATATGAATGTGTAAGTATCACAGTATTCGTGTATGTCCCATGGCTTGTGTGACCTGTCGTGACCTCATATTATTACCCAATGTCAAGGTCCTGTGGAATGAGGTCAAGCCAGTTCTACCGGTAGGATTATGATGAAGATTCTGAGATTGTTCTGAACAATTGTTATTTTTCGGGTCAGTTCGAAATCCAATGTGACCGCCACGGTCATCATCTTGGAAAAAACCTCTTTTCCAGTTTCACTTTAACTGCATCCGTTTTTCATAATTTAACATAATTTAACCGTACCGTTGTCGACCCAAGTCGACAAAACACGCTCTCATGCCCTCTCCTCCTCGTTGTCGACTATAGTGAGTGTAGATCAAGGTTATTCATTTTAACAAACTAGATGGCCAATGACCTGTGCTTCCATATCAAATATCAAGACTATAGACCTTGAAAAGAAAGTGTTACTCAAAACGACGCTTTTAAAGTTTAACCTCTCCTGAAAACCGGAAGTTGACATGTGACACAAGGAAATTATTGTCTTCGTGGACCGAACATTCCGCCGTGAGATATATAGTCGAAACTATCAAAATTTATTCCATTTGGCCAAAATTAGGCAATCCCTCTCTGCATGGAAACTTTGTCCGAGATATAAAGAATTGCTTGTTGTGTATATTACCGCGTAAACAGCCAGGGTCATTTCGAGACGAGGTTAAACTCAGTACGTTTATGTCTTATAAATACTAGCAAACACAACTCTTTCTGAGTTCATATGATCGTCAAATTAATGTTTCCCTCTTTAATACAAACTACAAGTACATTTCGATACTTCGTCATAAACCTGCTTTCATCTGGCATTCATGGTCATTAAATGTCATAAGAATGAAGTAGAATTCACAATATCATAAAACTCACAGGACCACAAGTTTTGGTATCAGATATCGAACCACGCACCTCAGATTTCACCTCAGATTTCACCTAAGTTTTGGTAAGTCTAACATTCTGCTGACTTTCAAATCACTACAAATGAATGAATGTATCAGTTTATCACAAAAATACAAATTTCATTGGAAAAATACGGTATTAAGGCTGGTTATCACAAATAAAAACAAGTGATCTTTTTTAATTAAAACTTTGCAAACCGTTAAGACAGTGACTAACATGATCACTACAACAATACGTCATCTTAGGGTGACATTGTCGTATTTAATCTATTTTATGTTTTTAGTTAAACATAAATATATATACATTGGACACTGTAACACAGCTGATGAGGGAAGACAATTTTAGACTCGTACGCTATCCGTGCATTGAACGATCTACGACATCAAATCTGCCCAACTGTTACATCCCTCTAAAAATGACGATAGACAGCTAGAGATACGCAATAAGATTATACAGGCAAATTGTCTGTTGTGGGATATGAGCACCTAGATTGCAATGTAGATAATGGAATTTACTGGGAACAAATATCATATACAGGTACATCTATGACAGGTAATTCAAATCTGCAACTACCTTATCAAGAACACAAGTCAAAAACAAATTCAACTCGGTAGTTCTCTTTCGTTATGTTACCTCGGCACACTGTATTGACAAGTTAAATATGTGTCTTCATTTGAAAGGCGAGTGACTGTTTATTTACTCAAGACAGTGTGTGTACGAGGTGATTATTGAGGAGTATTTCAGGACTCGGATTCCACTTCGTGTTAATTTAATTATTGGTTTATTCATATGCAGCTATTGAGGACATACTGCATCGCACATAATGCGGATTTCTCGCTCCAGGTGAACGATTTTTTTTACTTTAGATTATATAGCGGCCTTTCGTTTTGTAAATAAAAATTCTAAAATGTATGCCTCTTATCTAAACTTATCATTTCTTCATTGCAAATAAAACAGCAATATGGTCGACAGTGACGGTCACACGATAAATCTGTTCCCAAATAATCAATAAAGCCACGGTATTTAATTCTGATCAAAGTTCTTGGACTGAGCTGAACGGAATAAATATATGTAGTCAACATAGTTAAAAGGAAAGCCATTTTGGAAGGAAACTCTTCTCCGGAAAGTGGAAATAGAAGTGGATTTCGGAATTACGACGACTCCGGTCAAGGTCAACAGCACTCGCCATGACTTTCACAGACTATCCCAGCCCATCAGTCCGATGCCTAACCAGCAGTTTATTGAAAAGCTTGATAACGTACTATTCCACCTTTATAAAGATGACGATATATACACAATGTTATAAATAGCTGGACAAAATGATTTAAACATATTTTATTAGTAGTAGCAGATAAATGGATCAGAGACAAGTTCTAGCAACTCTTCTCCATATATGAAATTACAAATAATTAATATACTGCACGTGACATATGTTTATACCATAAACACAAATATAATGTAATTCGTAGACGTATAATTGTAAGTCTACATCACCCCAACGATATCGGTGAAGCATTCCCAAACTACTTGGAACAGATTTACACCTGAGGCAGATGAATCATCTGTAACTCCGATATAAACAGTTATAATTTTTCACCTGATGAACTGATGGATGCGATCAGGATCCAGAAACTTAACAAAGCTCCAGGAGTTGACAATATTTGTAACGAACGTTATGGGGACGTCAGTTATTCTTTGGTAGCCTGAAACTCTTTAATCCAATGCAATGTTAGACAAGGGGCACGTATCAGACAGGTGGAAATGTGGCATTGTCATTCCAATAAAAGCTCAGCTCTTGTCTTCGGAAATATCCGTATAAGGAGTAACGACTTGAAGTAGACAAGACCCAGATTATAACCAGCTCGGATTTATACCTGATATCTGGTCTATTTTATGTAAATACAACTTACAGCAATTCTTATAAGGGTACGTAACAAATGTCCACTTCCTGTCAAAAAATGTCATGGAAACGGATTGTCAATTATTCTATTAAAACAATGGAGGACGTTCTCCTGAACAAAAGACTTGTGGACGATCTGGACATTTTGCGATATCAAGACATTCATGGTACGTCTCCTTAAATTCTGTAGAAAACACTGAAAACTGCGGAAGACCTCAACATTTTCAGGTTTGTGTGTAAAATGGTGACATGTTCCCCTCAGTGGATAGAGCAACCGTGTAAACTATGTAACATACTGTACATAGAGACTGTTGTACATTATGTGACTGTCGAGCTACAGCTGACCTTCGTGACGTATTCAGGACACTAACTATAGATAAATATGTCAGACCATTATTTGTCTATCTGGACAATCTTCAGCACGAAGACTTCCTAATGACCCTCCTCGGTAAACATGTTCCAGCAGGAAGACTTGAAGGTAAAGAAGAATACCAGGAATTCCTCTTGGACAGTATCATATATATCTGAAGTGCTGCTCATGTGTTCTTATCAAATGTTAATCCATCATGACTTATCAATATATCGTACCAACAAAACATACTCGTGAAATCGAGGAAGATATGTAGTAACGATAGTGGCTAATCAAGTTCAAGCTAATTTGATGTAAATGACTCTTTCCTTTTGTAAAGCTCTTAACAGAGGAATAGAATATTTGACTGGTGATTGAAGGGAAGTTATCTTGATTTATCCGGTACCCGCGGTATTTACAAGTTAAACCATAAGTAAATACTTTACGACAATTCAACTTATGTATTGATCTACAAGCTAGATTGATAAATATACATGTTTATGTATCACAGACATTCCTTACATCGTAAACAGGACGTCATTCTATTTATCTGTCACCCAGATTGCATTCATATTGACAATAAATGCAATTTGACAGACGTACAATGGTTAAATGGTTTATGAAATTAAACAATATCAGGTGATGTGTTCTCTCTATGACCGAGCTGTTTACGTGTCGATACAAAAAGTATGTTTATTATTATGACACATTGTATGAAATCGACAAAACAAGGAAAAAAACTTTCCCTGTGCTCTACAATGTAAACTTCTGGGATAAAGGTTACATCAAAAAGGTGGCACCTGTTTCTGTACACCATCTCTTGAGATTACACCACTGGTAAAGTTACACCAAGACATGAGGCAGCGGTGGTGCCACCTTGTTTTGGTGTAAGAATAGTAAGAAATTTACATTGGTTGTGCAATGTACTGAAACTTGAACAGTTCATCAAGTTGTAGAAATTAATACAATTTGGTATGTTACGATATCGAGGGTGAATATATAAATTTCTGTACTGTACCAGTTCTGGATTTTGGCATTTAAAGATATAACGGAATTCATCCCCTATTTCATTTAAATCACATATCAAACACTTCCTGTCTTCTCTGGGTACATTTCTCCATCTTCCAGTTTCTATGGGGAGATTGAAGTTACATGTTCTACATTTTGTTAAGATCCTTCTATTTTTAATAGGTAGTTTGATTAGATAACTTTCAAGTTTCGGTACATTTTTAAACATTCTGTAGTTTATACATTTAGAAATATTCATAATATTACTTTCCCAGGATTGTAGAAACTGACTATATAAAACAGAGTACAAAACATTTCTTAACCAAGTAATATTTACATTGATAGGGTTTTGACATACATAAGACAATCCACATTCATTAAAAATACTCTTTACAAATTCAATCCATGGTGAATTGGTCTTATTCAATAACAAATACAATTTGCGTAATATTTCATTGTCTATGTTACAATTTTGGCCCAAAAAATTGCCATTCTTATTTTGATGTTAATAATCAACGGATATCGCCCAAGTTCTCCGTAAACCATACTGTTGGGTGCATGTTTCGATACATTTAATATATATTTACAATATTTCGTATGTACATGTTCAATAAGGTTCAACTTTGAGAAGCCCCACACTTCGCAGCCGTATAGTGAT